GGTTCCCAGTGAATTCCCCCTTTTGATGTCATAAATTTAAGCTGCCATGTGTTGCAGCTGCTAAACCAAGTCCACAAAGTTTGTGCCTGTCTGCAGATTAGAAGATCTTGGGATCTTTATCTTCTCTTTTAACCTGCTTTAATGGTCAACATATCCCAAAGGGGAGGTAGAAGGTGTCACTGCCCATGGCAGGGAGTGGAACAAGGTGAGTTTTAACACCCCTTTGAACCCAAACTATTCTGAGATTCTGGGATAAAGCAACTCATTCACAGAAAAAAAAAGTGATTCTGATGGAGCACAAGACTAAATTTTGTCTTTTGTTTTATAATCTCATGAATCGAGTGGCGAAAAGGGGTGAAAAGTGGTGGTAAGTGGGGAGTAGTTGGCTCTGATAGATTTGATGTGGGTTTTTTTACAGAATCAGAGACTTTTGGTGTTAAAGATTTAAAAAAAAACCCAACCACGTAAATTTTGGATATTAAATTTCTCAACAAATTCAAACTCTTTGCTCTTGCAATCAGTTTATTTTTTTACTCTGGTCAATTTATCAGTTGGACTCGATGATCTTAGAGGGCTTTTTCAGCCTTAGTGATTTTATGATTCTATAAAGGATGGTCAAGCACTGGTTCCAGGGCAGTGGTGGAGTCACCACCTCTGGAAGTGATCAACAAACAAGTGGATGTGGCATTTGGGACATGGATTAGTGGTGGCTCTGGCCACCTGGCTGGGTTAATGGTTGGACATGAGGATCTCATCTCCAACCTAAACCAGCTCTGGTTGCCTATGATAAATCAAATTTTCCTGTATAAAAGGAGTTCCAAATTCAGCTGTTGCTCACAGACATCAGAAACATAAAACAGAGAACTAAAAAAAGGTGGATTTCAACAGGGACAATTTCAGAGAACCCAGGAATTAGGAACAAATGTGCAGGTCATGGGCACAAAAGAGAACAAAGGAACAAGAAAAATAGGAAAAAAACCCACACCAGCTCAGATAAGAACAATGTATTACAGAGCTAAATCTGAGCAGGTGAACCCCTCCAAGGTGAGGTAACTCATATTCCTCCAATTTTCATCCTATTCCCTCCAGATTTGGGTTGGGAAGCACCAGGACAGTGAGACTCAGACTTCAAAACCAAGCTGGGACATCAAATGAAGCTCTTTGCAAAACATTTCTTTAAATGAACTATTTCTGGGCTACTAAAGGAGAGGGAAGGGAGGTTTTGGGGAAGAACTTCAGGGAAGAAGGGTGGAAGCCAACTCTGTGCAGTGAGGAACAAGTGAGACCTGAGGGATCTCGAGTGGTGCAGGTGAAAGGAGGGCAAAGCACCCAGAGCACAGTGCTGGTGTACTGGGGAAAACACAGATTTAATGGTTAGCTCAAAACCCACTTCCTACACTTTCACCTAACCTAGAAACAGCTCTTCTCATCTAGGGTGTGTTTTTAATGCCTCCAAGTGGAAAACTGAGGGGGGTTTTCCATGAAGTAGGAAGATATCTGCTCCCTAAAAGACTAATTTGTTGAAGAATGATTTGGAGGAAAGGAATAACTGAAACCTTTGGATATCTCTGTCATCCAAAGGACAAAGAGAGGATAGTCCAAGGCACAGAGACACCTTATCCCTGGAAAGCTGCTGCACACACAGAGTCAATAATTGTTTAAGGAACATTAATTCTCTTGGAACTCTGAGGGAGTTGTTGGCAAGGCAAACTGAAATCTCCCAAACTGTTTCTCAGGATGATCCAAAGCTCTCCCAAGGACAGACCAGAGCACTGCAGGACCTTCCTAACTGCTTCCATGTGACATGGAATGTCAGTCTGTGCACACAGAATGTCAGTGTGTTTACATGGAATGTCAGTCAGTGTACACGGAATATCAGGTGCTGTGTACTTTGGAAAATTTAATAGAGCCTCATCTAATTCCTTCTCTGCCTCTTGACATTCCACTGGATCGAGGAAAGCACTTTTTTCACCTTTTCTTACGGGTGAAACTTGTAGGTCCATCCCATAAACACACAGATTGTTCTCATAAAGACCCTCCTGCCCAGACCCAGGTGAGACAAGACAATTTCTCTTGTGTCACACCTCGTTTACATCATTCTCCAAAGTTAGAGGTTTGCATCAATTCCCTGAAATTTTGTGGCTTTGGATTAAAATTGGAGGCATCCCCAGTTCTTGCACCTTGGGATTATGTGCCAAGGAAAACCCTGGACACAAAACACCTCAGTCCCTGAGAGATTTCAGAGCAGGGATATGCCAGTAGAAGGCAAATAAACAGCATTTTAGTGGCACCCAGAGAATTTTACAGAAAGCAAACCTGGAGCACAGGGAGAGGCAGTTGGATACCAAGGCAGAGAATACCAAAAGTCCAGGTCTCTTTACTTGAGCTCAAGATTCCTGTTGAAGCCACAAGTTTGAATAATATCAGCACCTTGTTGAAGACCTTAATACCCAAAAATTAAAGAGAGAAAACTCACCTGCACATAGACTGCCCAGGAGCTGTGCAGCAGCACAATGACTGCCAGGATGGCAGAGGGAAGGAGGCCTCTCATGGTACCTGCAAAGCTGAGCCTCTGCTAACCTAGATATAATTTATTTTCTCTAGATTTGGTCTTTCTCTGCCTTTTTTTCTGTCTCTCAGACCTTCTCTCTGCCCAGCACTCAGAGTTTATAAAGACTTCACCAAGTATTGGCTTGGTAATTCATTAATCCAAGCTTTTTATGGACATATCATAAACCCCCAGAGGACTCTCAGTTATCTGCTCCTTGGCAGACCAAGTCAGTCACACCCAAGCAGATCCTGGGATTTATGAGGGACAAAAAGGTTTTGAAGGAGAGACAAAAAAACTGACCCAGTCATTACCCTCTTCTGCAGATTCCAGGTACTAAGAAGGTGCAAATATGGAATCATGGCATTAATGTTGGGAAAGACCTCTGAGATCACAAAGTCCATCAACCCAGCACCTGACAAAATGGGTCTTTTCATCACCTAAATAATGTGCACAAGTGCCACCTCCACAGGTGTTCTGAACACTTCCAGGGATGGTGACACCCCCCAGTGCCCTGGGCAGCTGTGCCAGGGCCTGACCACCCTTTAGTGCTGCTTCCTGCAGCACCTTATTAAAATCCAAGTGTTAAAAGGCATGAATAAGGAAAAAGCTGCCAGGAATCAAATCCACTTCTCCACGAGTTTCATTCTTATCCACAAACATGACAATGTCACATGGACGGAGAGGCAACAACTCACCTCACTCAGCTCAGGTCTGACATCAAGCCCAGGTCCTTTGGTCTGTAAATGATTTCTGGCATTTTGTGGTTTTGGATTAACAGGGAGAGCAGGAAACCAACACTCCTGGTCCCGGCAGAACAGGAGGGGGCAACAGTCACCCACTGAGAACTTCCTCGGATCTCAGCAGTGTTTGGTGCCACAAAGGCTCCGGTTGTTGATGTAACTTTGTTGGTGAAGTTACAGTGAAACCACCATTCTGCTTGGAACTAAAGCAGCCTGGAGATCCTGGGTGTGGCCTTGGAGGAGGGAATGGGAAACCTCTGGTTCAGTATAACCCAAAAACTGTGCTGAAGTAACCCCAGAGCTGACAGTATTGCCTGGGGACTGGCTGGCCTTGCTTCTCTCCACCAGCCCAGTTCCTGCCTCAGTCATAAAATTCAGACTCCTGGAAGGCCTTTTTAACAATAGGAGCAGGTTTCCTCTTTTTTCTGATTTCTCTGCTTTCTGTGCTGCCATGGACAGGAGCCATCAGTGACAAATCCTCAATAACTCAACCTCTGCCCTGAATTTCATCAGTGTGGGCCAGGAGTGGAACTGCAGATGGCACAGAAAAGATCCTCTTAACAGATTCCAGGGGGAGTCTCTAAAACCATTTCCTTCTCCACAACCTGGTTTATCCTGACCCTTTTTAAGACCAAGTACAAGTTGGTGGAGACTAAAGAACAGATTAACAGGAACTGAGGAGAGCAGAGACTTGTTGAGGATGGAAAAGACCTCCAGGGTCATCAAGCACAGCCTTCAGATCAAGTCCAGCCTTGCAGAGAAGGCAAAGAGGCAGAGGTGCTTTCCAGGGAAACCAAACAGTGACTGGGAGCATCCCAGAGATTGGAGAGAAGGGAATTAGAGAGGAGAAAGTTTACAGAGATATCTCAAGAGACATCCTAAACCTGAACCTCACACCAAACATACACCTAACTCGAAGGCTCACCCCAAATTTAACCCTAACCATAACCCTGAACCTCACTCCAAACCCAACCCTAACCCCAAACCTAACACTAACCCCACCATTAACCTTAAACCTAATTTCTAACCCTAAACCTAGTTCCTAACTCTGACCCTAAGAACTAAACCTGACCCTTAACCCTAATGAAAAATATAATCCTAACTCTGGCCCTAATGCTAAACCCAACCCTAATTGGGTTAACCCACCATAACTCTAATACTACCACTAAACCTAAACCTAATACCTATCTCTGAACCTAAAGCTAACACTAACTACTAAACCTAACCCTAAAATAATCCTAATCCTGACTGTAATACACTAAACCTAACCCTAATGACCAAAAATAATCCCTAACCTGAACACCAGCCCTAACACCCTAACCCCTAATCACAGTGTTAAACCTAATCCTAACCCAAGAGGTTGGTCAAAGGATGGACCAGGCTTTGCTGGTCAAAGGATGGACCAGGCCTGGCAATGGGACAGGAGGGACGGGTGGGAACTGATGCCCAGGAGGTTCCAGCTGAGGAAGAAATTCTTTGCTGTGCAGTGGCTGAGCACTGAATGGATTGTCCAGAGAGAGTGTGGAGTCTCCTCTCTGGAGATATTACAGAACACTTTGGACACAATCCTGTTCCACGTCCTCTGGGATGGAGCAGGGCAGTGGGACCAAGAGCCTCACTGTGGCCCCTTCCATGTCAATCCGTGTCCAGCAGTCACACCTGGGTCACCAAACCCTGTTGTTCCCTGGTGCACAGAAGCAACTCACACACCCAGGTGAGGGATTCCTTTATTCCATTTTTCCTGGTGCACTGTGGCTGCCCTGAGCCCACGTCCCGCTTCTGCTCTTCTCTGGGGTCATGGAGCTGCTCCTGCTTCACCAAGCTAAGGGGGAATCATAAACTGTTCAGCTGGAGCTGCAGAGGGGAGGGCAGAGACCTTCTGCTCACCAGGCGTGGTCCTGGAGGGTTCTGAGGTGTACAAGAGAGCCTTGCCCTGCCAAGGTGCCAAGACCTGGCCAGACCAAAGCCCAGAGGAACCCGTCTGTGTCCCCACCTGGCCTGGCTGTGCCTGTGGCCACAGCCCTGGGGCTGAAGGGCAGGTCTGGCTCAGGGGCACAGCCCCAGAACCCCCTGCTCTCTTTTCACCCATCCAGCAGAACAGGACATCCTTCCTGGGGGAAAATACCTCCCGTGCCTGGGAATACCCACCAGAGGAGCTGTCTTGGGACCATTTCCTCAGCTTGTTGATCTGCAGGGCCTTCATACACTGCTCCCGGGACACCCGGAACGACTCCAGGTTTGCCAGGACCTGCTTTGCTCGTGGTGTCCTGCAAGGACATGGACGGAGTCCCTCTTGCTCCCTGGCTGAGACCCTGCCTAGCACAGCCCCTGCCCACTTCTACACCTCTGCTCCTACCCCTGCCCCTGCCTCTGTCCCTTCCCCTGCTCCTGTCCCAGCCCCTGACCCTGTCCCTGCCTTCTCCTGCCCCTGTCCCTGCCCATTCCTGTCCCTGTCCCTGTCCTGCCCCTGCCACTGCCCCTCTCCCTGTCCCTGCCCCTGTCCCTGCCCATTCCTGTCCCTGTCCCAGCCCCTGCCCTCTCCTGCCCCTGTCCCTGTCTCTGCCCATTCTTGTCCCTGTCCCTGTCCCTGCTCCTGCCCCTGTCCCTGTCCCACCCCCTCTCCCTGTCTCTGCCCACTCCTGTCCCTGTCCCAACCCTTTTCCCTGTCTCTGCCCTCTCCTGCCCCTGCTCCTGTCCTAGCCCCCATCCCTGTCCTGCCTCTGCCCCTGTCCCTGCTGCTGTCCCAGCCCCTGCCCCTGTCCTGCCCCTGTCTCTGTCCCTGTCCTGCTCCTGTCCCTGTCTCTGCCCCTGTCTCTGCCCCTGTCCCTTCCCTCTCCTGCCCCTGTCCCTGCCCCTGTCCCTTCCCACTCCTGCCCCTGTCCCCATCCCTGTCCCTGCCCCTGTCCCTGACCATTTCCCTGTCACTGTCCCCCTGTCCCCTTGTCCCTCTCCCTGTCCCTGTCCCTACCCCCTCCTGCCTCTGTGCCCACACTGCCTTTGGCCCCAGCACCCCGTTCAACACAGGACAAGCTCCAGGCCCATGAGACCCTGGACATCATGGGTTATCCTGGGATACTCTGGGGAAATCCAAGGGGCCATATCCAGCTCAGGGCTCCACTTTTCCCTCCCACCTCCTCAATCCTCTCTGGCTTTTCCAAACTCTTACTTTGGCTTTGGCCTCCTGCCAAGAGGGGAAGGGGTTTTCATGGTCTCCTCTCCCTGTGGGGACAAGGCAGCTGCCACTCCTGCCACAGCGGCCGCCCTCTTCTTCCTCACCCTCTCAAACTGCCCGGGGGGGGAGGCAGCTTCCTTCTCCTGCCTCCCCTGCTCTGCCACGGGTGGGAACTGTTGTGTGGAGAAAAGGGAGGCAGCTCAGACATTTTGGCAACAGTCCAAACCCCATCCCACAGCCTGTGACCCAAGGGACATTTTGGTTTCCTCCTCTCTCCCCCAAAAACCCTTGACAGGGACCTTCTGCTTCCTATGGAAACCTCAATACTCTAAAGACCCAGTTCAGGGAAAAAGCCCTGGCAAGGGCAGCACAGACCACTGGAGTCATTCCCAAGGCCGAGGGGAGGAGCCAAAAGGCATTCTGGAATGAACACATCCAAAGGGATCCTCCAAGCCTCCCTATCCTCAGGGTGGATGCAGCCTTCCCACAGGGACACAGGACGTGATCCCACACCTGTGTCACACATCAGGACACAGGACATGATCCCTCATCCATACCCTGTACTGGGACACAGGACAGGATCCCACACCTGTGTCACACATCAGGACACAGGACATGATCCCTCATCCATACCCTGTACTGGGACACAGGACAGGATCCCACACCTGTGTCACACACCAGGACACAGGACATGATCCCTCATCCATACCCTGTACTGGGACACAGGATGTGATCCCACACCTGTGTCACACACCAGGACACAGGACATGATCCCTCATCCATACCCTGTACTGGGACACAGGATGTGATCCCACACCAGGACCACGTACTGGGACACAGCTCACCTGCCTTCTGGGAGCAAGGACACCAGCTCCAGGTGCTTCCATCTGCTCCACAGCTCTGCCCTTCTGCCCAGAGCTCCCAATAATGGGAGGTAGCAAACTGCAAACACCACAGGAGCACTTTGTCTGAGGAACAACATCCCCCCAGGGTTGTGCCCTCCCAAGATCCCTGTGCATTCCTCCCACCCCATGGGAAGAAGCTGAACATGAGCCATAGTGTGCCCAGGTGGCCAAGAAGGCCAATGGATCCTGGCCTGGCTCAGGAACAGGGTGGCCAACAGGTCCAAGGAAGTGATTCTTCCCCTGGACTCAGCGCTGGTGAGGCCACCCCTGGAGTGCTGTGTCCAGTTCTGGGCCCTCAGCTCAGGAAGGACATAGAGGGGCTGGAGCAGGGCCAGAGAAGGGCAACAAGGCTGGGGAAGGGACTGGAGCACAAGTGCTGTGAGGAGAGGCTGAGGGAGCTGGGGGGGCTCAGCCTGGAGAAGAGGAGGCTCAGGGGAGACCTCCTCACTCTCTGCAACTCCCTGACAGGAGGGGGGAGCCAGGGGGGGTTGGTCTCTTTTCCCAGGCAACTCTCAGCAAGACAAGAGGGCTCGGTCTCAAGTTGTGCCAGGGGAGGTTTAGGTTGGATATTAGGAAGAATTTCTTTCCAGAGAGGGTGCTCAGCCATTGGAATGGGTTGCCCAGGGAAGGGGTGGATTCTCCGTCCCTGGAGATTTTTAAAAAGAGACTGGATGTGGCATCAGTGCCATGGGCTGGGAACCACAGTGGTAGTGGATCAAGGGTTGGACTTGATGATCTCGGAGGTCCCTTCCAACCCAGCTGATTCTGTGATTCTCTGATTCTGTGAAGAGCCAAGTCCTTGTGCCCATGCTGGGATCTGCCCTGGCTGAGTCCAGGCACAGTGGCCAAAGGTGGCAGCTCCTCACATCCGCCCAGGAGCACGTGGCACTTGGCATTCCCTAGAGCCACTCTCCAGGACTCACCTCCCTCTCTGCCCTCCAGCATCAGCTTTTCTCTTTTCCACATCCCGTATCCGACTCGGAGAAACACGTGGGCGAGAAAGAAGGCGCTGGCCAGGAACAGTCCCTGGGGAAGGCAAAGAGGAAGCTCCTCTCAGCTGCACCTCTGGAACACTTTGGACATGAAGGATGTGCCAGCCCTCCTGTCCCAACCCACTCCCCTTCCCTGAGGGCCGTGCTACTCCCTGGAGCTGCCCCACTGCTGCCTTGGGGCCCCATGTAGAAAAAGGGTGACCTGCTGGGACAGCTTTTAGGCTGGAGAGGGGATTCCCTTGAGCATGGAGGTCAGTTCTGGGAGGGGATGTACCCGGAGTCGGCTGGAGCTCAGCACTCGTTGTTCCAGTGCTCTGCAGGGAAGCATTCACAGGATGTGGCTTTGACTTCCCATCCACCTGCACAAAGCTGGAAAGAATGTGGAGACATCAGTTGGAATGGATGTAGCAGAGTCCATGGCAGCCCCTGGGAAGGAGCTGTTCCCAGCCATCCACTTTTCCGGATGAGACACAGTAGGAGGAGTGGCAAAACATTTCCCTGGAGCCTCCATCCATAGGGCTCCTCTCAGGCAAGTCTGGGATACCCCTTGTCAGAGGTGCTTCCCTTGGAAAGCAAACACACATTGACTGGGAGCATCCCGGGCTCTGGGACCTGAGAATATCCCGGGCTCTGCGGCCTCTTGGTTCTCAGTCCCACTCCAAGGAAAGGAAAGGAGATGGTGGAGTTCTGCACCATGGCCCCCAACTGCATCTCCAGGGCACTTCCCACACGGGTGAGAAGGCAAAACGGGCTTTCTTCCCAGGGAATCCACCTGGAGGCACTTCCCAAAGAAGCCAGAATGGCCCTGGGCTTTGCACAAAAGCATTCCCTGGGCAGAGTTCTTCCCACCCAACCTCAGGAGGAGACCAGCAGCAGTAGCACCCAGGGCAGCTCAGCAGGGAGGGGCTGGGACACTGCCCAGCCAGGAGGGAACACAGCCCTGGAACAGGAACAAAATGACTCACTGTGGCAACACCAAGACACCTCCAGGAGGCAGCTCGGAAATGTCCTTTTCCGTGTGGGCTATGAATGATTGCCTCAGGTTTGGTGACTGCAACAGGGACAGAGACATGGCAGGGGTCCATGGGGAATTTACCCCGCTCAACAGGCAGAAACCTCGCCTCAAACCCGACCACAGCTGCCTCTGTCACCCCAACCCCAACTGCCTCTTTGTCTCCCTCTCCACCACCCCAACCCCAAATGTGTCTCCTCAACCCCAATCCCTGCTGCCTCTCTCTCACCCCAATCCCAACTGTCTCTCTGTCTCCTCAACCCCAAGTACCTCTCCTCAAACCCAACCCCAGCTGCCTCTCTGTCACCCCAATCTCAGCTGCCTCTCCTCCATCCCAACCCCAATTACCTCTCCATCATCCCAATTCCGGCTCCCTCTCCACCATCACAACTGAACTGCCTTTCTGTCACCCCAACCCCAGCTGCCTTTACCCCACCCCATCCCCAGCTCCCTCTCTGCCACCCCCAATCCCAATAGCCCCTCTGCCATCCCAACCCCAGCTCCCTCTCTGTCTCCCCAGCCCAACCCCAGCTGCCTCTCCCCCACCCTCCTCCTCTGCCCCTGCATCGTGTCCACATCCACCCACATCCAGCAGCCTCCTCACCACCTTGGTCTTTTGGGACACCAAAAGGTGTCTCCAAGCCCAGCACAGCTCATCCTCCAGGCAGGACCCTCCGGGGGCAGGAGGGCAGGCCCAGTCAGCAGGACCATGGGAAGCTGCCCAAGAGTTGGAAGGTGCAGCAGACCCACCTGGAGCAAACTGTCTGCCAGGTTCTCGGACTGAGCCACCTCCCGGGCCAGGTCCTCGAAGAACCTCATGGCCACGTGCCCCCCTCGGCACACCAGGACACCGATGTCCTTGAACACGAAGTCGAAGTTCTGCCTGCTGGACAAGGCCCACTCAAAGACCCTCGTGGTGGCCTTGATGCACATCACCACGGTGGCCTTGGGCACGTGCAGGCGCAGGGCAACCTCGGCACAGACCAGTTCGTCGGCTTTGGAGAGCTCTGGGGAGAAACCAGCCCACGGCAACATCACCCTCCCGGGGTCACCGGCCACTCCAGAGCCACCAACCCTCCCACCACATGGACGAGGATCCAGCAGCACATCTCGTGCCTCCGTGGGCCTGTGCAGTGACTGCCAGGAACACTTCCAAGAGAGCTGCCCAGCAGTACCAGCACCCCTCGGATTTAGGGTGCTGCTGGCAGGGCCCCAGCAGCGTCCAGGGCTCATCTTACCAGGCGCCAGACTGTTCCCATGAGGGAGCTTGTTCCCCACCAGGAATGGCTTGTCCAGGTCGAACTCGGGACTGTCAACCAAGAAACCTTCCAGTTTTCCCTGCCAGATGGGTTTTTTCATGATGTGGATGGTCCCCAGGCCCATCAGCCCGACCCTCTGGAATCAAAGGCAGGTGATAAGCAAGGCCAGGCACTTTTCAGAGAGCAGGCAGGGGAAAAGGCTTGTGTGGACTCCACTGAGGGGGATCTGTGGCCTTTCCAGATGCAAGGCCTGAGATGGAGCACTCAGGAGAGCCCTGCACCACAGAGGGTTCCTCGCTCCCTGCAGTGTGCAGGACACGCAGATCCTGGGAAGGCCCAAGGAGTGCCAAGAGCTGAGAATTGTCAGAGCACTGCCAGGGTTCTCCCACTGGGTGTTCCTCCCTTCCAGCTGTGCTGGAGAAGACTCCAAAAAAAAGAAATCCAACATTCTCCTGCTAAAGTGCTGCTTGTCTGCTCTCTCCAGCTGCCTGGGACACTTAAGCTGGATGAGCAAGGGCCAGGCAGGACAGGGAAGAGTCAAGAAACCCCCATGACCTGAGGGAGGATGAGGAAACCAACCCCACCTTCTTCAGCAGCAGGTCTTGGCGGCAGCACTCGGACACACAGTCCCAAATTTTAGTGATTACTGTTGGAAAAAGAGAAGGAAGGGCCACGTTGAGGTTATGAAGATCATCATTTCCCCTCGCCTTCCTAACCTCCATCCCCTTCTCCACAGGGACTCTTCCTGGGGAAAGCCACCAACACATTTATTACTGGTGACTGGAGTAGCCTCTCAATCAGTGTAGCCTCTAAAATCAAGAATGGTCTAATGAAGGATATACAAAAGCAATGCAATTTTCTTTCTAATTCAACATATTTTCTGATTCCCCAAAACCCATATCTGTTCTTTCCTCATATTTGCCGATTTTCTAAAAAACATATTTTTTGTTAATTTTGCAGTAAAATCGAGGTCCACAGAAGGGCCCTGGTAATGAGTCACCTTTTCTGACCTTGCAGTGAAGAATTCTGCAATTCAAACACTGAAATTGGCACAAGTGGGACTGTTTGAGTGACTGTGGAAACACCAGATGGGAATACCAGGAGAAGACAGTCAGGAATGGCACATTTGGGCAACTGGGGAGCCAGATGCTGGAGAGCAGTGCCAGGAAAGGGCCCTGGGGGTGCTGGTGGGTGGCCAGTTGGCCCTGAGTCAGCAGTGCCCTGGCAGCCAGGAGGGCCAACCCTGTCCTGGGGGCATCAGGGAGGGGATTGTCCCGCTCTGCTCTGCCCTGGGGCGGCCTCACCTCAACATTGGGGCAGTTTGGGGGGACACAATGTCAGGGAGATATTGAGCCATTGGAGAGTGTCCAAAGGAGGGACAGGGAGATAGAAAGGGCCTTGATTTGAAGCCATGTGAGGACACTGGGGGCACTTGGTGTGTTCAGCTGGAGAAGAGGGGACTGAGGGGAGACCTCACTGCAGTTCCAGTTTCCTGGGCAGGGGCAGAGGAGGGGCAGGGACTGAGCTCTGCTCTGGGGGGACCAGGGACAGCAGCCAGGGAATGGCTGGAGCTGTGTCAGGGCAGGGTCAGGTTGGAGACTAGAAAGAGGTTCTTCCCCCAGAGGGTGGTTGGCACTGCCCAGGCTCCCCAGGGCAGTGGGCACAGCCCCAAGGCTGCCAGAGCTCCAGGAGGGTTTGGATGATCCTCTGGGGCACAGGGTGGGACTCTTGGGGATGGGGATGGGTCTGGGCAGGGCCAGGAGTTGGACTGGATGATCCTTGTGGGTCCCTTCCAGCTCAGCATATTCTGTGATCCCGTGAAAAGCGGGGATTATCCCATGGCTCTTGGGCCTCAGGGGACCTCAAGGCCTCACCATCCTTGGAGAAATACACGAGGTCTGGGGACAGGGCAAGGAGGGAGCCAGGAAAGGGCTCTGTCTTGGCTGCAGCTCCTCGGGCTCGAGCTACTCTCCTCCTCCTCTCCATCTCACCATGGTCCCAAACCGGGACACCAGATCCTGGGAGCAGCTCCCCACGGTTGGTCCTAGTCCTGGTTCTAGGGAAGTGGGCACTGGGGTGTTGTCAAGGGAGGCAGAATGTCCCACTGTGACCTCAGTGTGTGGCTGTAGGGCCACATACACACCTGGCCCCTGCCAGGCTTCACCCTACAAGGGGAAGGAGGCTGCACTTGTCCTTTTGAGGGGCTGCCCCCACAAATATCCCTTTCCAAAGAGTCACCACCCAGCACTGCTGGCCCTCACCTGAGAAGCCCCAGACATGGCAACTTTCCTCCCAGACAAAGGAGTCTGAAAAACTTGGGGGGTGAAAAAAATTAAGTGGGGAAAACCCTTGCCCCAAACTGAGGTAATTTAAGCTTCAGGAGTCCTTGGTCCTAAGTGGCAGTACCAGGGAATGTCTGGAATTGTGGAATCATAAAATGTCCTGAGCTGAAGGGATCCACGAGGATCCTCCAGTCCAACTCTTCTCCCTGCACAGACACCCCAGCAATCCCACCAGGGAGCCCCCAAAGTGATAAGAAGGATGTTGGACTCAGTATTTATTTACAGGCAGTTTAGGGGACGTGGGGGGACTCCAAAATCTCCTGCCCCTCAAGCCAAAAAACCCCCAAAGAGGCCTCCCAAAACACCCTGGGGGGGGTGACCCCATACTGGGGCAGGGTCCCCAAAACTGCAGCCCCTCCAAAACATTTGTTGTGCCCCTCCATGATTTTTGGGGTGCAAGGGTGGCCCCTTTTCAGACCTCCCCCCTCCCAGGCACTGGAAGTCAGTGCAGGCATTTTGGGGGGCTGCAGCAGATTGGGGGAGCCCTGGGGGTGGGGGTGTTGGAAACAACAGAACTTTTAAATAATTTTAATTATTTAATTATTTATGTAATTATTAATTTGTTTATTTTAATTCTTTAATTTTAATGGGTTTTGTTAATTTTTAATTGTTTTAATTAACCATAACCAATGTGTACCGGTTATGAATAGTTGGTTATTCTTAAATTACTCTGGCACATCAGATTAAATTTCTCTTCAGCAAAGTTTTCATGAGCTACTTTTATAGGAGGAGTTTGGGAAAATTACTGCAACTTAAGTTTTGATAACCTAACTTTGCTCATGTGCTTCAATGAACAAAGCCAGGGAGAGAAAGATGGATTGTTGAAATTGGAAATCTGGGATGCAGAACTTCTGGACCACAAGGACACTTTGGAGAAATAAGAAGATAAAGAAGAGACTAGGAAAGTCTCAGTATTTGTGAGGGAAAGTCCCCACCAGAGGAAAAAGGTCCTAAAAAGACTAAAAAAATATGGACTAATTAACAAAAACATCAAGAAATCAATAACCAATAGGGGACAATTATTATAATTAATGAAAGTACTTATAATTGTTATAATTAATATATAATAATTAATTATAATTATTATAATTAATTAAATAGAATTAGGTAATTTAGAACCAAGGAACATGAATTTCTTTGTTTTCTAACAATGTATAAACAGGTGAACAGGTTTTGCATCAGGGTCAGTGGATTTTGTCAGTCACACAGACACCTCCTAGCCAAAATTGAATTGATTCCTGACTCACTGACACTACAAAGACAAAGTCAGAGGGTTTTATTTATTTATTGTGATGCTTTTGGAGGATTTGGCAGTAGGGGGAGAATCTCCTCTGTGTCTTTGTGCTGTGCCCTTGCAATAAAGTTTTCTTACAAGAGAAAAAATAGTGGTTTTTTTTAAACTACTGCAAAAAATGACAGCAGAGCCCAGGCTGGGGGGAATGTTGACCTAGGATGTTGGGAAGGCTCCACAGGGATCAGGACAGGCTGGAGCAACGGGCCAAGGCCAGTTCTTCACTCTGAGGAGCTGCCACTTTGGCTGGAGCAGGAATGTCTGGGCTGGCAGTTGCTCCCTGGTTTAGCAGCTCCACGTTCCCAAGCCTGTGGTGATTCCAGCAGAGCCTGGCTGGGGTGTCTCCACACCATTCCACGCTGCTCTGGTTCCCTTGGAACAAGCACATCGAGCTCCCAGGTTCCAGGCTGTGTTGTCTGGGGGACTGTTGTGGAAGAGATCCCTACAGCATTCCAGCCTGGAAGCTTCCTTAGGATTACAACCCCTCATGGGATGCACAGGGAACTTCAGTCTCGGTCATTTTCCCCCAGTAATTCTTCCACACTCGTGGAAAAGGGCCTGGGGTTGCTGGCTGGCAACAGCTGAGCAGAGAATCATGGATTCCTGGAATGGTTTGGGTTGGAAGGGACATTAAGGCTCAGCTTGTTCCACCCACAGCAGGGACACCTTTGCTATCCCAGGTTGCTCCAACCTGGCCTTGGACACTCCCAGGGATGGGGCAGCCACAGCTTCTCTGGGAATTCCATCCCAGTCCCTCCCCATCCTCACAGGGAGGAATTTTTCCCAATATCTCACCTAACCAAGGGCCTTTTGTAGAAAACAGAAGATAGGGAAAAGAATTAACAAAGAATTCAGTTCACATGCTGGAAAGTCCCTTCTAGGAAAAAAGATACTAAAAAAGTGGATTTAATTAACACAGAAATTGAGAAATCAATAACCAATAGAAGTAAAATACTGGTTAATGAAAGAGAATGATGTAATTAAGAACCAATGAACATTAATTTCTTTTCTTTATAAAATTTATAGATTTGGTCTGAACAAGGAATTAGGGTTGAGGGAAGACACACTTCACCCCACCCCTCTTCCCTGCTTATGAGTTTATCTACACATTCCAACCTCCAGTGCCTCTGGGATGACACAAACACATTTACAGGGGGTACATGGAAAAAAAAACAACACTGGATTAACTTAGTTGGAAAATATCCCAGAAATCCCTAGGTCAGTCCATTTGGCAATTCTTCTCTTTGCAGTCTCTGTCATCCCACGGCACCAGGAGCCCCAGTCCTGCATCCAGGTGACACTGCACAACATTCCCAGGAGCCCCAGGGTGACTCTGCACAGAATTCCCAGCTCAGGGGTCCCAGTCCTGCATCCAGGTGACTCTGCACAGAATTCCCAGCTCAGGGGTCCCAGTCCTGCATCCAGGTGACTCTGCACAGAATTCCCAGCTCAGAAGGTCTCAGAGCCGACGCTCCTGCTCTCCTCCTGCAGCGGGGACGCCGTGGTGTCCCCCGGGGAGGCCACGTTCAGGTAGCCCAGCTCTGAGGGCTGGGAGGGGGACAGGCCCAGGGAGGAGTCCTGGCTTTCGGCCTCTCCCTCAGGCTTCATGTCCCGAGGGGCCTTCATGGCACCAAAGGGGTCTGGGAGATCCCGGGGTGGGAAGCTAGAAAGGAATTTCCACTGTTAAGTCATCCACCCCACAACCTTCTTCAAAGGATCTCACACCCCTCGCCCACCCCCAGAACCTCCTCCAAGGATCTCACATTCCCTCATCCACCCCACAACCTTCTCCTGGCTCCTCCTGCTCCCCCCAAGGTACCTGGCACGGGGAGGTGGCACCACCTTACTCTGGAGTTGGCGTTCGGAGACGTGAAGGGTCTTCGAGTCCTGGAAGAAGGAAGAGAGACTTTGAAAGGAGGAGGTGCAGGTCAGATCCTGAATTCCAACATATCCTGGTTTTCCAAGCCCTCCCCAGCTCCACTGAGAGTTCTCCCCATCAGCTCCAGACCCACAGAGGTGCCAGTCAGGGATTTCACCTTTGGGTCTGAACTTAAACCAAAAAAAAACCCCAAACCAAACCCCACCCAGCCCAGGGGAGCCCCAAACAGCCCTTTCCCCCTCATTTCCACCCCAACTGGGTTCCCTCCACATTAGAACATGCCAACAAACCTCCAAATCCACCTGGTTTGTTTGAAAAGTCTTTGATTTCTCCCTTTTTTCCCCCTTCCTCCCCCCAAAGCTCTTCCTCCAGCTCAGCTGAGTTGGGATCATCGCTCAACTCGGCCTGAGGGTTTTGGGTGACAGAAGGAACATTCCCAACCCCTCTACTCAGGGTTGATCCTCCTAATTTTGGAGCCAACTCTACAACTGAGGCCTTTGAACAGCTCCAAAGGTGCCAAGTGAGATTCCTGTCCCCGTGGAAAGGGCTCCCGGGGCGCAGCAGCTCAGGGACGAGGGGAGCAGGGAGTGCCTGGAACCTCCAGCTTCCCCCAAAGTCGGTGCAACCTCTCCCACGTCCGGGGCCCTTTCCATCCCATCCTGCTGGATCCAGCTCTTCCCCAGCCCCTCAGGGGTCAGCAGGAGCCCTTGGGGGTCTCACCTCTGCGGGGGGAGCAGGGCTGCTCCTGGCAATGCGCTGGGAGGGAGGCGCGTGGCCGGAGAGCTGCAGCTTGTTCTCCTCCTCCAGGAGCTTCCCTCTGGGTGTGGAGAAAGGCACAAGTTATTTTCCTTCTGGCCACGCTCTGTTTTCAAAGGGGAATTTCTCTTTTCGAACTCCAGACCCTCCTCCACAGTCTCCAGCTAAAGGTTGAGGATTTTGATGGGAAAATGGGCTAATTACAGCCCTAATTACAGCTGATATGGCTTTAATAAGAAATTATTAAATAATATTATTTTATTATTATTTTATTAATTGTTATTATTTAAAATAATTTATTTATATATTTATAATAATATCTTACTAAATAATATTTTTATTTAATTAAATATTATTAAATAAATTATTATATAAAATATTAAATATATTATTATTAAATAAATAATTATTAAATATTTATAATAATTTATTGTTAAATAATAAGTTAATCATGTACTTATTTATAAAAACATATTATTATATAAAAAATATCGTTTGTGTTATTATTTAAAATAATTTATTTATATATTTATAATAATATCTTATTAATAATATTTTATTTAATTAAATATTATTGTTAAAAATTATAATATAAATTATCGAATAAATTATTGTTGAATAAATTATTATTTAATATTTATAATAATTTATTGTTAAATAATAAGTTATTTATGTATTTCTTTATAAAAACATCTTATTATATAATAAAATATCATTAGTGTTATTATTTTGAATAATTTATTTATATATTTATAATAATATATTATTAAATAATATTTTATTTTATTAAATATTGGTATTAAATAAATTATAATATAAGTTATCAAATAAATTATTATTAGATATTTATAATAATTTATCATTAAATAATAAGCTGGTTGTATATTTATTTATAAAAACATATTATTATATAATAAAATATCATTAGTGATATTATTTTGAATAATTTATTTATATATTTATAATAATATATTATTAAATAATATTTTATTTTATTAAATATTGATATTAAATAAATTATAGTATAAATTATCAAATAAATTATTATTAAATAAATTATTGTTGAATATTTATAATAATTTATTCTTAAATAATAAGTTGATTATATATTTATTTATAAAAATATTATTATATAATAAAATATCATTATATAAAAATAAAACTGTAATAAAGGCTAAAATTTAATTTAATAAAATGCAACAAAATTAAAGACAAAAATCTAATAGCAAATTTAATAGCCATGGCACTAAGGGCTGGGGCACAATCCAGTTCCTCTGGAATTCTTAAGAGAAACAGGCCCAAAAGCGGGGCAGAGGGAGGCCCTCAGAGGGGGGCATGGACCTCAGGAGGGTCCTACCTGCTGGCCAAGGGGGCAATCACCGAGCGGAGGCTCCAGAGGGGCTCCTCCTGCTCCGAAATCTTCTGCAGGAGCCGCCGCCTCTCCTGGAGCAGCTTCTCGTTCTCAGCAGTGATCTGGGTGATCAGCACCTTCCCCTGAGGGGGGGAACAAGGAGAGAACAACCAGCGCTTACACCTGGGGCCTCTCTGCCCCCTGCAAACCTCAGAACCCTCCCAACGGGGTCACCGGCAGGGAGGTCAACTCCTGGAGCCTTGGAGTCCCCATTCCTGGAAGAGTTCAGGGATCATGGGGATGTGGCTCTTGGGGACATGGGTTAGGAGTGAACACGTGGTGGAGGGTTGATGGCTGGACTTGATGAAGATCATTATCTTAAAGATGTTCTCCAATCATAAGGACTCTGGAATTCCATTCCCTGTCTAATGTAAAATACCCCAAAAAGAGGCTTTGGGGTCACTTCCCAGCAGAGGCAAAGGAAAATGGAGCTCAGGTAGTGTCTGGGGGGGGGATTGGAGGATTTCGCTTCCCCTGAGGGCAAACCTGAGCCAGGAATTTCCTGTGGGCTTTTTGTTCCTCCATCTTGGGGATGGAGCTCCTGGACTCTTCCAGGAGGAGCTGGTCCCTTCCTGCAAGGAGGGACTTTGGTCTGGAGTGACAGGACACAGGGAATGGCTTCCCAGTGCCAGAGGGCAGGGTTAGGTGGGATACCAGGAAGGAATTCTTCCCTGGGAGGGTGGGGAGGCCCTGGCACAGGTTGCCCAGAGAAGCTGTGGCTGCCTCTGGATCCCTGGAAGTGTCCAAGGCCAGGTTGGACGGGGCTTGGAGCAACCTGGGCCGGTGGAAGGTGTCCCTGCCTGTGAGACTGGATGGTCTTTAATGTCTCTTCCAACCCAAGCCATTCCATGATTATTTTGGAAGGAGGGGATGCTCCTGCAGCCTGCCCTCGGAGAAGCCCTCGGTGTCTTCTCTCACCTTCTCCACTTGGAGCTTGGACTCGCTGAGCTCGTTTTCCAGCTGTTTGATCCTGCTGTCCCTCTGCTTCACCTCGTGGATGAACGTCTCCTTGGCCCTGCGGATCCTGTCCTTGTGCCGGAGCTGCAGCTCATTGTACTTCCTGAGGAAGCAGAGACAACCCTCAGGCTGGGAAATGCTCCACGGCAGGAGATGTCCTGAGTTCCTTCAGGCTCCCCAAAGCCTGAACTGGGACGGTCAGCCCTCCCCCAGCTCCTTCTGCCTGCACAGAATGGACTTTCTGGACTCTTTCACTGATCACTTTGGGGTTTTTTTTTCTGTTGGAAATGTTACATTTTTAATTGTCAGTCAAATGGAAATTGATTAAGGGAAAAGGACCCAAAGCATTTCCAAAATAATGTCAAAAAACAAAAGAATTTTCTACCATATAAGGGATAATTGGCCATGTTGGTTCAAAATTCATGCTCAAAAAGCTACTGGGCTTTAACATTAGAACAGAAGGGGTGTGGGGAGACAGGAGCAGCTCCAAGGAGGGTCTCTGCTGATACCAGACCCTGACCAGCAGCACCCACAGCCCTCCCAGGGCCCCCTCTGCTGCCTTCAGCTGCCAAGGAAAGGCTGGGAGAGCTGGGGTCTTAACCCAGAGAAGAGAAGGCTCCAGGGAGACCTGAGAGCCCCTTCCAGGGCCTAAAGGGGCTCCAGGAGAGCTGGAGAGGGACTGGGGACAAGGGATGGAGGGACAGGACACAGGGAATGGCCTCTCACTGCCAGAGGGCAGGGAGAGATGGGATATTGGAAGGAGTTCTTGGCTATGAGAGTGGGGAGGCCCTGGCCCAGGTTGCCCAGAGAAGCTGTGGCTGCCCCATCCCTGGAAGTGTCCAAGGCTAGGTTGGACGGGGCTTGGAGCAACCTGGGCTAGTGGAAGGTGTCCCTGCCCATGGCAGGGGGTGGAATGAGATGATCTTTAAGGTCTCTTTCCACCCAAACCCATCCGGAATTCCACGACATCAGACACGTGGTGTGTGACATCACAGCACACTGGGGGGATGGATTCAGGGGGATCTCCCGGTGCCAAATCCCTGAACAGAAGACAGGAAAGGCCACACAACGGCCAAATCCACTGCCAGGCACAGGAAGAGCAATTCCTGGGGAGGATTTTGTGCCATCACCTCACATAGAGATCCTTCTGGTTCAGGAGCCGAACACCCTCCTCATACAGGGCCTTGTTCTCCTCCTTCAGCAGGGACAGCTGCTCCGAGAGCTTCTGGTTCTCCTTCTGGCACTGCAGGTGCTGCAAAACAGCTCTGCTTTATTGTGTGTGGCTGCAGGAGCCCCTCTGCTCCCTTCCCCTCTGCAGCCTGGTCTGAAAAGCTTCTCTCTCCTCAATCCCAGTGGTTCCCACTACAGATAATATCCATCCATCCATCCATCCATCCATCCATCCACCCATCCATCCATCCATCCATCCATCCATGCACCCATCCATCCATCCATCCATCCATCCATCCACCCATCCATCCATCCACTCTCACATCCATTTATCCACCCACCCACCCATCCACCCACCCATCCACCCATCCAGCCACCCACCCATCCATCCATCCATCCATTCATCCACTCTCACATCCATTTATCCACCCACCCATCCATCCATCCATCCATCCACCCATCCATCCATCCATCCATCCATCCATTCACCCGTCCATCCACCCACCCATCCATCCACCCACCCATCCATCCATCCATCCATCCACTCTCACATCCATTTATCCACCCACCCATCCATCCATCCATCCATCCACCCATCCATCCATCCATCCATCCATCCACCCATCCATCCATCCATTCACCCATCCATGCACCCATCCATCCATCCATCCATCCATCCATCCATCCATCCATCCACCCATCCATTCACCCATCCATCCACTCACACATCCATCCATCCACCCATCCATCCATCCATTCTGCCCTCCAGGCCTCCTCCCCCTAATGAGGGGCCCTGGGAATTTCAGAGCAGAGGGAGGCAATGAATCCTCCCAGACAATGGACTCTGCCCAAATTTCCCGGAAAAAACTCCACGCTCTGCAAGGAAAAGGGAAGGAAGAAACCATAAAGTCTTCCTGTGCCCTCAGAGCTTCATCCCAGGAAACCTACATGAGATGAAATCATGGAATGTCCTGAGCTGGAAGGGACCCCCAGGGATCATCCAGTCCAGATCCTGGACAACTCCAACAATCCCACCCTGTCCCTGAGAGTGTTGTCCAAACCCTCCTGGAGCTCTGGCAGCCTTGGGGCTGTGCCCACTGCCCTGGGGAGCCTGGGCAGTGCCCAACCAGCCTCTGGGGGAAGGACCTTGTCCTGAGATCCAACCTGACCCTGCCCTGGCACAGCTCCAGCTGTTCCCTGGGTCCTGTCCCTGCTCACCAGAGCAGAGACAGCTGCCCCTTGTGAGGAACCTGAACACAAAAGGAGCTGAAGCCCCTCCATTAATCCCAGCTCCATGTGTTTACTGAACCTTTTCCTGTTAAATCAGTGGGATCTGCAAGGGCTCAGCCCCTGTTCCAGCAGCTCCCAGGGGTACATTTACCCCCTGGAATGTTCCTGTTACCCCTGGGATGACAAGGAACCCCCCCCACAGCCCCTCACCTCTCCAGGGTCGAGTTTCCTCTCATCCTCCAGGGCATGCAGAGTCTTGGCCTGCAGCTCCACGTGCATCTTGGCCAGCGACGCCTCCGTCTCCCGGGAATGCCGGAGCTGCTGCCGCAGCTCCTCCACCTGCTGCTCCAGGAGCTTCCTGAGAACATTGGGAGTGTGACAGCGAGACCCTGAGGTGGAGGTGTCACCACCATGTGCCCCCAAGGCTGGGTGTCCCCTAAAAACCTCCCCCTGCCCTGGGTCACAGGGAGGGAGAGAGGAATCAGTACATGGGGAGAAAGGGATCAGCACATCCTGGTGTCCCCACCAAAATCCCACTGAAATAGTTAATGGCTCACACATTTTAAGATCACCAAAGGACTTCTGCAAACTGAAGAGAAGCAGCTGCTCACCCAGCAAAGCCCACCCCTCCCTGAATATCCTACTGGGGAAGGACCTTCAGAGCAGTTAAGTGGGTGCCAATGTCCAGCTATCCCGGGTGCAGATGCACACCTGGAGCTACAAACTGGATTTGGGAAGAGGCTAAGAAGAGGTAAATCCTGCAAGGTGGGATAATAATCATTCTTATCACGCCAACGTCCTCCCTCACATGATTACTCTGCTGTGAAAACCCCTCCGGGGAGCATCGAAAATTTGTGACGTGTCCACTGACGTGATCCATGGTAAAACTCCCCAGGATCCATGGGAAAACTTCCCAGGATCCATGGGAAAACTCCCCAGGATCCATGGGAAAACTCCCCAGGATCCATGGGAAAACTCCCCAGGATCCATGGGAAAACTCCCTGAGGAAGTACAAGGCGTTCCCACCTGAGCTGGAAGGGTATAATTACTCATGAAATCTTTGACTTTTGGGGGGGGTTTCCCAACCAACAGACCAACAGACCAACAGACATGGAAGCTGCAACTCCCAAGTTTCATCTCTGGATCCAGCAGGCAGTGACTATAAACAGCTTTCCACCTTTATCCTTCCTTTCTCTTCCTTGCCTTATGCATTTCCTTAAGTGTTATTTTTATGCTTTAAGGTTGCTATAGATGCTTTAATATTGCTGTATTACTATAGAAAATAACAGCAATACACCTGTTTACCTTTGAAACAAAATTGTTCTAAAATAAACCCTACATATATATTTTGTTTAAAAACACTGATTATTCAGTGTCCTTTCGCTCTAATCCACCCCAAGGGATTTATTAACCAGAATCTGGGTTACTCTCCCCTTCTGGGTTGTGATGCCACGTCCCAATGACATGAAAAAGAGTGGATAATGCACTGGGATCATCATCCCAGCTCCACAGGAAGGGGCTGTTGGCATCGCTGCGCTGGCAGGAGAGGCCAAGGACCTTCCGAGGCAGCTGAAGTCTCCAACAGCTTTTTAAATCTCCAAGAGGGAATCCCTGGAGCTCTGCCAGGGATGTGGCAGATCCAAAGGGGAGGTCGAGCCAGCGGTTTGGGATTCCCTTATCCCCCCAGGAGCTGCAGTTCCCATGGACAGCTCAAGTACCTCTTCAGCTGCCCCTCGTGGAGCTCCCGCTGCACTCGAGCTTCGTTCTCCCGGGCCTCCTTCAGCTCCTCCTCCAGCAGCTTCTTGTCAGAAACACGGGCCTCTGCCAGCAGGAGCTGGTGATGGGAATCCTTCAGCTTCTGCTGGAGCTTGGAAATCTTGGAGGAAAACGGACATGGACTAAATTTCTGAATGTATAAACCAGTGTGTGCACCAGGTCGCTTTGATCCCTCCATGTCTGGGACTCGGGAATGAAAGCTTTCCTTGTTTTGAGTCAAAGTCCATGGAAAGCAAAACTTCTGGAATGGCCAAGGAGATTTTGGATCTTGGATCAGAGGGTGTGTCATGAATTGGCAACAATTCTTTTGGGATCCAATTTGATCCTGTAAACTTCAAAACTGACTCCAGAGATTCCTGCAGGAGCACAGCAGAATCAGTGCCATGGGAAACACAAGGGTTTGGAAATTCCCAGCCAGCAAACAGCAGGAAATCTGCTTGGCAAGAACAGGATTGAGGCTCCCTGTGCCTGCCAGTCCCAGTCCCAGCATTTCAGAGATACTGAGCCATCACACTCGGCTTCTGTTCCCTTCTCACTAACAACCAACTTTCTTTCTACAATATTTATCTGAGTGATCCCAAAATGGACTTTGGGGAACCAATTCCTGAGCTGCTCCTGCCAAACACACCCCTCCTGTTCCCCAGCTCACATTCACCTTTTTCTGGGCTTCTCCTGCCCTGGATTTTTCCTGGGCCAGCCTGTCCCTCAGGCTGCTGTGGAGCTTGTCAGCCTGGGAGCACTTGGAGAGCTTCTGCTCCAGCTCCCTGACCTTCTGCTGGCTCCTCTCCCACTGTGCTGACAGGGATGAGCAGGTTTCTGTGGAGTCTGAGAGTTTGGCCCGGGCCTGTTTCAGCTCAGCTTTGACCTGAGTTTGCAAAGAAGAAATGGAGTTTGTACTTCAGCAAAGATCAGCTGGAATGGCTTGGGTAGGAAAGGGGACTGGGAGCAAACGAGGGATCAGGGAGGAAGTGCAGCAGGTTTTATTTGGAGGCAGGGAAATTTCTCATGGAATTCCAGAGGGGTTTCGGTTGGAAGGGACCTTAAAGCTCAGCCTCATTCCATGGGCAGGGACACCTTCCACTAGATCTTAAAGATGATCCATTTCCACCCCCTGCCACGGGCAGGGACACCTTCCACCAGCCCAGGCTGCTCCAAGCCCTGTCCAACCTGGCCTTGGACACTTCCAGGGATGGGGCAGCCACAGCTTCTCTGGGCAACCTGTGCCAGGGCCTCCCCACCCTCACAGGGAGGAATTCCTTCCCAATATCCCATCTTCCCTGGCAGTGGGAAGCCATTCCCCTTGTCCTCCATCCCTTGTCCCCAGTCCCTCTCCAGCTCTGCTGGAGCCCCTTTAGACACTGCAAGGGGCTCTCAGCTCTCCCTGGAGCCTTCTCTGGGTTAACCCCCCCAGCTCTCCCAGCCTGTTTCCACAGCAGAGGGGCCACAATTCCCATGGAGCTGAGAGCTGTTCCTACCTTGGTGCACTCCTGCTGGAGCAGCAGGTTCTGCTTCTGGAGCTCTGCGTTCTTCTCCCTCTCGTACCTCAGCTCCCTCTCGGCGGAGCTGCACAAGTTCTGCACCCGCCGCAGGTCCTGGCGCAGCTGCTGCAGCTTCTCCTCCTGCTGCTGGAACTTCTCCTCAGGCAGACCCTGAGGGAACAGCACAGCACCACGGGTCACAGGGACACCAGCTCCAGGGAAGGATAAAGGCTGTTAGTAAGGAAGGTATTTAAGCAGGAAGATGGGCAAAGCCTGGCATTCCTCTGCCCCCACACAGTGCCCTTGGAAGGGTTTAGAAGCCGTGTGGATGTGGCACTTGGGGATGTGGTTTGTGGTGAACATGGCAGTGCTGGGTTATGATCTCAGAGGGCTTTGCCAAGCTCAGTGATTCCACTGTTCTGTCCATCCCCTCAGAGAAGTCAACATGACTCCTGAGGTCGAGGGAGAACATGTGAAAACCCGGATGAGGGAACAAACACCTGATAAAATGACCCTTTCCAACCAAAGAAAGCCACCAGGTCACTCTGAACTCTTGTGTCAGAATCCAACTGAGGCAACCAAGCAGGAGCAGCACATCCAGCCCAGCTCCAAGAGGGAACAGGAACACGGGGACTCCTGGCAGTGGTGCAGGAACACACCGTGACAGCCCCGACACCCTGAGGTGTCACCGACGGTCTGGGGTGGCTTTTGGAGCTCCTTGGACCACCCACCTTCCTGCAAGGGCCTGGCACACAGACCAAAAGCTCTGCTTGGGTTGTACCAAAGCCCTTCTTCCCAGCATCGCTTCCAGCCACATCTGGATCTGAATTCCCGCTGTGCATCCTCTCCCTCTGCTCTTGGCACTAGAGGGAATCCACTGAAGGCCAAGCTTCTCTTCTTAAATACATCCCCAGATAACACCCCAAGCTGGGAAAGGTCTTGGTCCAGCACTGTGGGGTCTGGCAGTGGCAGTTGTCCTCGAGATCCACAAAGTTTTGTGGGTTTTTTTCCCCCTCATCTACTTCTATCAGGATCCTTTCCAGCATTCCCTTGTGTCCTGCTCTGCTCCACCTGTAGGGATTTGCTGCTTCTTGGATCCGGCACAACTCCAGTCCTCTCCTTCCCACTCCCACTCCTGCCCACAGGTCACTCAGTCCTCTCTTCCCATCCAAACCCTCGCACAGAATCCTTTTCCTCCTCAGCCTCCCCACTCTGGGTTCCCCCACCATTCCCACCCCTCCTGGCAGAGATTCCTGCTCCTGCCCTTCTCTTCCAGCTCACAAGGTAAGAAAGGGGAACAAATACCATTTAAATCCCTTATTTCTGCCATGGGCACTGACTTTATCCAAGTTCCCACCACATGCAAAGCACCACACAAGGAAACGAAGCCATCCCTAATTTCCAAGGGTTGGACTGTCTTCCAGCCCACTTTAATTAGGTTTTCCCACCCAATTAGTGACCAAAATCAGGGTGCAGATGGCAAAGCTGCCCATACCTGTTTAAGGCTCCCATCTAAACTGCCTGCTGAGCTCTGCCATGGCAGGAACCTGCTCTCCCTTTGCTCCAAGCCTGGGCTCATCCTCCAGGTCTCTCCGGTGTCTCCCTGTTCCCGGGCGCTCCGGATGTTGTGCTTGAGCTGGGAAATCTCTTCCAGCAACATCCTTTTCTCTTCATTGCTCTCTTTGAGCTGCTTTTCCAGCTCTTCCTTCTTCTTGTTGCTCTCTAGTAATTCAGAGCTTGAAGGGGAAATAGTAAAGGAGAGAGATGACTACACATATCCCAGGGAAAACACCCGTAAAAGGGAAAAACTTGGGATGTGAGAGTCCAGCGAAGGCTCAAGTACCTCGGGAGGCTCCCAAGGGGATTTACTCCTGTGTGCAGCAGTTCTGGGCAAAGGTCAGTCTCCTTGGGACACTGTCCCACAAAACCACGTGTGTCCAGAGGCTCAGCCCTCCCTGGGAGGAGGTCACAGACTGGCCAAGGGAACCCTGCATGGGGTGGGAGCTGCTCCGTGCTCCAAAGACACAGGGAAGCACTGAAAGGAGGGGCTCAGGTCTGCCAGTCCCTGTCTGACTCACCTTCATCCAAACTGTCTCCATTATCTCCATCCAAACTCGAAGTGGGGGCTGCCCCATCCCTGGAAGTGTCCAAGGCCAAGTTGGACAGGTCTTGGAGCAGCCTGGGATAGTGGAAATGTCTCTGCCCAAGGTCTGGGTGATCTTAAAGGTCCCTTCCATCCCAAACCATTCCAGGATTCCCTGTGCCGGTTTAGATGGGATATTACGGATAGATTCTTCCCTGTGAGGGTAGTGTGAGACTGAAGTGGGTTTCCCAGAGAATTTATGGATTTCCCATCCTTGGAAGTGTCCAAGGTCAGGTTGGATGGGGCTTGGAGCAACTTGGGATAATGGAAGGTGTCCCTGCTCATGGATGGGGGTGGAATGAGATGAGCTTTAATGTCCCTTCCAACCCAAACCATTCCATGATTCCATGGCCTACATGTTCAGGCACTGGCACAGGCTGGAATCAGTGCTGGAATCACCATCCCTGGGAGTGTTCAGTGACTGTGTGGATGTGGCCCTTGGGGACCTGGGTTAGTGGTGGCCCTGGCAGTGCTGGGGAATGGTTGGATTCACTGATCTCACTGACTGTAACCACCCTGGATCTAATCCAAGCTTTTCCTTACTACTCAAAAAGGGGAGTCAGATCAATACCTGGTGACACCCACTCTCCAAGGACACCTGAATTCCAGGGACTCCCAAAATCCACAGCAGCACGAGGACCACCACTGCTGGCAGCCGTTGGCCCTGAGGAGCCCAAACCCATGATTGGAGCTTTTTTGGGACCCCCTTCGTCCAAATATTTGGACTAAGTCCAAGTATTTGGACCCTCTTACTCCAAACACCACCTGACTCCAAGGGATAAATCCTCTTCCCTAAGGACAGCTCTCGTTTAGTCTGCTCAGAACCTGTAATAGCTGCAGAAGAAAGGTTTGCTCCTGGCTGATCCTGATGTCATTGAGGGAGTTCCCCAAAATCAGACACTGATCCCATAAGGACACGAAGCTGCTGGGCCTGTTCTCTCCAGGACAGGGAGTCAGAAAAGACTCAGAAATTAAGTCAGCAAAGACAAGGAGCAGAAAATACCACAGGCCTTGGGAAGGTTTACCAGAGCAGCTCTTGTTCCTCCCTCAGGCTTTTGATCTGTTCTTCCAAAAACACAACTTTAGCCATCTGTTCCTCATAGGTCTTTGCATCTCCATCTTCCTGTGTCTGCTCCTCTCTGTGACTCTGTTCATCTTGTAGGATTTCAGAGGCCTGTAAGGTCAGAAAACACCAGGACTTGGATTTCCTTTGCTCTGATGGAAATCTTTTGAGCCAGTGCAAGGCAATCTGGGGGCTCCAGCAAGACTCAGCTTGTGATTCTGTGGTTAAATTATCCCAGTTCTTGGAGTCCTTCCTCCTGCAGGGGCAGTAGCTGTGTGTGAACCACCACCAAGTCATGGTTCTTTATTTGATTTCATCCCACTGTGGCCCATCTGCAGCTCCCAGGGTTTTACAGCATGTGCCAAATCTCTTGACAAAACCAGCAGCTCTTGGGAAAGGTGTGGATTCAGCTGGATCCCAGAGAGATCCCCTGTCCAGACTACCCAAAATCCTCTCCAGGGGTGGCTGCTCTCCACCCCCAACATCACCCCACACTGGAACACCAGACAAAACTGCCCCCAAACCTGAGACTGGAAGAGAAGACAACAAGAAAATAGAAGGGGCAGGAAAGCAGGAATGTGTCAGGATACAGGAATTCTCAGGCTGGATCAGAACCTGAACCTGCCTGGACTAATATCTCCAGTGGTGAACCCAAACCCTTCAGACACTGTTCTCCCCACTAAACACCAGCAAAAACATTGATTCCTACAGGTTTTTCACCAGTAGCTCTTCCTGAGCACTGGAAGTTCGATTTCAAGTGGTCTTATCTCCCCCAGGATGAATCCACTCAGATCTGAGCCCCAGCAGCTCCTGTCTGCTCCAGGCCCTGGGACAACCAGGATTTCTTTCCATGCCTCACCTCTGGGTCTAACAAAGCACTGTCCTTGTGCTTCTCATGGGACACATCCACGAGGTCCCTGCTGGCTGATGTTCTTTGGAGACCAGGGGAGGTGTTACTGTGGCTTGGAAGCTCCAACTGGGAGTCAGGAGACCCCTGGAGAGGAAACAGCAGGAGTCAGTGGATGAAACACACCCCGAAGGACAAGCTCAGGAAAAGTTTTCTCCTCTCAAATGCCCAAAAACCTCGTGAAAACAAGATAATTCCAGCTGAGGGAACCCAATGATTTCATGCCAAGCTCATTTCCAGCACTGTTGGGAAACAATTCATCCCAATTCATCCCAATCCAGCTGCTCCATCCAAAGGGAACGAGCCCATGTGGGAAGCCAGAAATGCCACCCAAAAGGGTCTCTGTGCTAAAGGCTGTTCCAGTCTAACACAGGGGATCATGGGATCATCTCACCCCATGATCCCTTGGGTGGAAAAACAGTCCCTCCTTTGGCAAAGCCACCAGCAGCTGGTGGTTGAATTCCAATCAGATTTCCAGGGACGGATGATTTTGATCCAATGGTCCATGAGTGGGTTGAACTATTGGGATGCAAGGGTTAAAAAAGGACTCTTCCCATTTCCCCCAGCATCCCCCACATCACACAGTTCCTTTCCAGCCCTTTCCTCCCCCACTCTCCCACCAGCACTGGTTTGTATCCAGAGCTTTGCAGGCCTGATTTCCACCCCAGCTTGCAGTGTGGAGTTGTTGCAGCAGGACAAAGCCCTGGCCTGTAGATGCCACTGTTCCTCCAGCACCTCCTGTGTCTCTGGAGTTGAGCCAACAGCTCAGGAATTCCATGGTTTTTTTACTTGCATTCAAGGAGGTGACTGGACTCAGAGCTGATTTAAGGCCTCTCAGAGCTAAAATGTGGGATTTATCCCAGATGGAACCCCCCCTTTTCCAGTTTCCCTCAGGTCTGCCTGATCCAGGCTGTGGATCTGCAGCTCTTCTGGATTTTTAGCCTAATTTCCAGCCCTTGTCCAGCCCTTGGGCAGTTTTGCTGGCACCACAAACTCTCTCTCCTCTGTGGCCCAGCTGGAAGCCAAGAGCTCCAGCAACATTCCCAGCAGGGAGAATCCCCCAGGAGTGGATTTAGCAATTAAACTGGCTCAAGCAAAATGTGCTGAGGTCCCTGGGGAACATCCCAGGAGGGATCCCAGCAGGATGTTCATGTCACCTCCTGTGGCTCTGGGCTGTTCTGACTCCTGCAATAAACACCTGAGTCTGAAAATTCCCACTCTGCCCCCCAGAGAATTTAGGGTTTGGCTGCAAAGTTGGAATTACTGGTTTGGGATTAGATCCACTGAAGAGAAAAACAAATGATGGAGTTGGAGACAGTACCATGAAAACAGATGGATTGAAAACCCTCTGCCAAAGGTTTCAAACTGGAGAAAAGCATCAAGTCAAATCAGGTGCCTGGGGGGGAACTGCTGGATTTTATGGAGCATCCAAAGGGAACTGGCTTGTTCAGGGAGTCCCACATACCTGGCTGCCCAGGACCCCCTTCTCAGCCTTCAGATCCTCTCTCAGCAGCTCAAGCTCAGATATAAGTTGCCTCCTCCTCTCCCTCTGCTCTCCCAGATGATTTCCCAACTTGTCTATGGTTTCCTGACAGCTTTCCAACATCTAGAATAAGAAACATTAGGAGTCTCTTCTCCAGCATCCTTTATTCTACCCAAAGAAAAACAAATTGCAGGAAATGTGTCTTCTAGGAAACACAGAAAGGAGAAAAAAGGCTCTCAAAAATTTTCAGGGGGATTCCTGCATCTCATTCCCAGGGCTGGCAAGACCTCTCCAAAGGCCTGGAGCCTCTACTGACCAAGATACCTTGGGAAGGTCCTCTCCCACCTGTAAGCAGCTCTGTCTAGCTGAAACATCGGGAAGATCCAGTTGTTGGGAACAAATGGACCTGCTGGGAAGCAGCTTTAAATGTACCTACAGGCCCCTTGCTTTCACTGAACCCTAAACAAGAACTGAGAACCGTCACACAGGTAACACCTTCACCCTCACAACAAACTCCTCAGCTTGCAGAGCTGAAGGCCAGACCAGCTCCTAAGGAGATGACTTTTCATGAAGATCACTTGGGCACGTTGGCTCCTTTCTTCCAAAAACATCCCTCTGTCTCCAGGAGCTCAGGGACTCCGAATTCCCAGGAGATGCTGATAAGGAGCATCCCCAGGAGAGAGTCGCTTGAGATGCTCATTTCAGACGTTCCCTAAGACATCCCTAAACAAAACAGATGATTTCCCAAGGGAAAGTTCTCACCTCCTGCATCTCCTGCGCTCCAGACGCCTCCTGCTCCTTCCTGGCCATCTCACTTCTGTTCTTCTGCACCTCAAGCAACTCTGTTTCTAAACTGGTGATCTGAACATGGACAAACCACGAGTTAAAACCAAGCCAGGACTCACAATTAAATGCAGAATTCCTGCTAAACTGCTCCTTGTGCTGCCCTTCCAGGATAAGCCCCACCTTTGGAAGGAAGGAGCAGGAGAGGCTGTGCACAGGCATCAGCTCTCAGCTCTCAGCTCTCATCCTGCTGCTTCCAAGGGGGAAGGAGCCACCCAAGGCCAAGTCAGAAAGAGAAGGAATTGCTCCACAAAAGGAGAGAAACAACCCAGGCTCCTGGTGCAAATTCAAAGTGCTCACAGGTTGTGGTGCTCTCCTGACATGGAGACCTCGGGACACCTTGGAAGGAGGTCACCCTCCTTCCCAGGGCTGTGGCAGTGCCCTGTGACACTCCAGCTCTGGAGCTGTGGGCTCACAGGCTCAGCCAGGAGTTTTATTTAATATATATTTACGTATATTATTATATACATATATATATTTAATATATAGGGTTCTTTAATACCTTGAGATGGCATTAAGAGAATAAGCCACGGGCTTGTTCCCAAGTGGTACCTTTATTAATTTAGGGGAGAAAATAAGGGCACTTGGCAAAGGTTTAAAAAGCTAGAAAAATGTTCTACTACAATACCAACTCAGCACATATTAATCCACAACACTTAAGTCAAGATCCAATCGATCCACAACACTTAAGTCAAGATTTAATCCCTCCAGCTCCAAGCCACATCAAGCATTAAGAAAGGAGAAAAGGAGAAGCAGAGGGAGAAAGAGAGGAGGGGGAAGAGGGAGGGGCAGCTTATAGAGCTGGGATCCTGTGGAAGACCAGCTCTTACATGTCCAGAAGCAGGGCCATGTGGCAAACACACACCTTTGGGTTTATCTGCTCTGGTCTTTGGTTTTATCTGCTCCAGGGGGGTCTCTGACCCACCAGCCACTCTGGGGTTCTAGGACAGGGTGAGGGGAGGTGTCCTCACTGTCCCACTCTGAGCTGGGTCAGGGGCTGCAGGAGCTGTGGGGTGTTATAGGGCAGTGTCCTCACTGTCCCTCCAGGAGCTGGGGGTGTTATAGGGCAGTGTCCTCACTGTCCCTCCAGGAGCTGGGGGTGTTATAGGGCAGTGTCCTCACTGTCCCCATAGGAGCTGGGGGTGTTATAGGGCAGTGTCCTCACTGTCCCCATAGGAGCTGGGGGTGTTATAGGGCAGTGTCCTCACTGTCCCATAGGAGCTGTGGGGTGTTATAGGGCAGTGTCCTCACTGTCCCCATAGGAGCTGGGGGTGTTATAGGGCAGTGTCCTCACTGCCAACCTGAGCTGGCTGCAGGAGCTGTGGGGTGGTGAAGTTTTCCTGAGCTCTTTGTGACTGGCAGCTGCTCCAGGGCTTCTCCATGTGGGTTCCAGGTGCTGCCATGAGGGATACAACACCACTTCCACGTGGTTCCACCCATCCCTTCCCCCTCCACCCACCCCCAAAAGGTGGTTCTGACCCCATAATCACTGATCTGGTGTCTACAGCTGATTTATCCAAGCAGATATTCAGACCAGACTTGTCCTGGTCCCTCCACTGCTCAAAGGTTGTCAATCCCTCCCTCAAGGCTCCAAGGACTCGGGATTTGGGACCCCTAAGCTCCTCCTGGAAGGCAAGAGTTTGTGGGGACAAGTGCTCACTCTGCACATCTACCCTTGGGGGGATCCTTTGGGATGGATTATGGGTCCTGCAGTTCTAAAGGGCTCAAGGAGCTTGGGAACATCCCAAAGGAGCAGCCCAGCTAGGGAACATCCCAAAGGAGCAGCCCAACCAGGGAACATCCCAAAGGAGCAGCCCAAAGAAGGAACATCCCAAAGGAGCAGCCCAACCAAGGAACATCTCAAAGGAGCAGGTCAACTAAGGAGCAGCTCAAAAGAGCAGCACAATTAAGGACATCCCAAAGGAGCAGCCCAGCTTCTCTTCCCTGGCATGGCTCCTGCAGACCCTCTTCCCAAATCCCTCTGCTCCACTGCCAGCAGGGCCCTCAGCAGCTTCCTTTTCACCTCCCTATGACTGAAATGAAGTTTGGGCTGGTTTTCTTATTTCTAAACTCCCCAGCTGGGCTGTCCACCTGCCCAAGCCAGGCTGGCCCTGGATGAGCCGGGACACTGGAGGGAGGTGAAATCCAGCTGCAGGTGAAATCCAGCTTCACAGAACCACAGGATTCCAGAATGGGTTGGGTTGGAGGGACCCCAAAGACCATCCACTTCCATGGGCAGGGACACCTCCCACTATCCCAGGTTGCTCCAATCTGGCCTTGGACACTTCCAGGGATCCAGGGGCAGGCACAGCTTCTCTGGGCAACCTGTGCCAGGGCCTCCCCATCCTCACAGGGAGGAATTGCTTCCCAGTATTCCAACCCAAAGCTGAAGAAGTTCCAAATCCCTGCCAACCCCAGCCCATTTCCCATTTCCAAAGCAGGACATCAAAGCCCAGGAGCTTTGCTCTCCCTGACAGGCTCCAGCACATTCTGGCCCTGCTGGAGCTCCCAGCAGGGAATGACCTCTCAGACCCAACAAAGCTGCTGCAATACTGGGATTTTAAGACAAAGAAGTGACCCACTCGAGGTGTTCAGAGGTATTAAAAGTGGGGTGAGACACTCAGACCTCTCACAGAAGAGCTAAAGAGCAATAAATCCCCTCCTCTTGCATGACTACGTGAGAGTTTGGGGTTCAAGCAAGGCCTTGGTGTTATGAAAGAGATCTCAAAGGCCTAATAAGCCTCCCCTCCTCACCCCCAGCCAGCCTTTGCTCAGAAGTTGATGCCCACAAGGCAGTTCCATCATTTTGCTCATTGTCCCTCCAAGCCACCACTGTTTGAGCCCTTCCTTTGTGCCAGCAGCAGAACAATCCTCCCCCTGTGTCCTGGGCCTGAGTCACAGCCTGGCCAGCCCAGGCTTTTGGAGCTGTGCCAACCCAGGGAAATCTCCCAAGTCCTTCCCACATGGAGCAGGGCTGGCAAACCCCCAGCAGTGCTGCCTTCCCTGGGCTCCAGCCCTTCCCTGCTCCCCTCCAAGGCTCCCAAAGCCCCCCTGGGGATGCAGGTGCAGCTCAGCCCCCTCTGTCTGAGCAGAGGGATCCAACCAGGGGTTAACTCATCTCCTCTTCCATCCCAGCTCTCCTCCATGCCCTGCAAGCCTCCAATCCAGCCCAAATACTTCACATCTCCTTGGTTACTCGATGCCATGACATTCCCTGGGATCTGTTTAACAATCCACTGACCAAAGGGGGGATTTGTCCAAACTCTTCAGTTTGATTTGCAGAGGGTTGTGTTTGTTCTGCTCCAGTGGGGAATAGTTTGGTGTGAGCTGAACAAGCCCTGAGTTAAACCAAAGCACAACCATGGTGGACAGACCCTTTTCCATCCCATTCCAGGGCAAGCCCTTGGCTCCTTGGAGAGAGGAGATAAACATGGTGTCATTGGCATCCTCATTAAGATACTGGAACGTGTCCTCAGCTTGGTTTAGAGGCTTTTCCCTCCCAGCCAGAGGCTGCTGACAGTGAATTCCTGGTCCCTTCCTTTGAACAATCCATCCTGGGGATGCACAGCTGCTCCAGCATCCAGGTGGGATACACCTGCACCCCTGCACCACCTCCTGCACTGTGTACAAGTGCAAGGACATGTCACTCCTGACTGGAAACCTAGGGGGGCCTAAAATCTCATCCCCGAAATCCAGGGTGCCATGGGGACAATGTGTAAGGGCTGTGTAAGGACAGTGTGTAATGTGCTCCTCCCAGAGCTGCTCCAGAGGGATGGAGAATGCCTCCCTAAAACTGAGGTTTAAACCACCCTGAGAAAAGCAGCAGCAGCCTGAGAAGCTTCAATCCTTGCCCAGAGGATGGAGGTGGCCCTGCAGGGGTTGCCAGGAGGCCCCATGGATCTGGCAAAGCAGATATTCCAGGTGCTGCTTCACATCTGGGGTTTCCCAAAGGTTCCCAGAGCATCCCATGCAAATAGTAAAGGATTTCTATCCACCTCCTAAAGTAAAAGGATGACCTGAGTGGACTTGTCCTATTAACAGTGTCCCAACCAGCAGAAGGCAGGGATAGATGGGGTATTGGGAAGGAATTCTTGGCTGTGTGAGTGGGGAGGCCCTGGCACAGGTTGCCCAGAGAAGCTGTGGCTGCCCCTGGATCCTCAGAAGTGTCCAAGGCCAGATTGGACAGGGCTTAGAACAACTTGGGCTAGTGGAAGGTGTCCCTGATCATGGCAGGAGTGGAATTGGATCATCTTTAAGGTCTCTTCCAACCCAAGCAAGTCTGAGATTCTGCGAGGGGGGACAGGAGCTGGAGAAGACAATGCTCCTGTAACACTGGGAAATCTGCACTTCCAAACAAGTGTAATTTACTCCCTGCTGAGATTTTTTCCTCCTTTTCCCCTCTTTTCTGAACTGGCAGGTTTTTCTTGTCAAACTAAACCCAGAGGGTACAGGTCCAGGTCAAACATCATTTTATTTAATCAGTCAGGGAGAAATCTGCCCCATTCCTCACTCACCTTCTGCTGCAGTCCCTCCACCTCGCTCTCAAACTGCTCCTTCTCCTGCTTGGTCTGGATCTGAGTCTCTCCCAGGATTGATTCCAGCTCCTCATTGCGCTCCACCAAATCCTCATGTTCCTGCTCCAGTTTCTGCAGCTTGTGCAGGAGCTGGGAATTCCTGCCCTCCATGTTTTCCATTGCCTCCCTGCACCTACACACCAAAACCAACGTCAGCAAGGCCAGAACTGCATCCCAACCTTCCCACCAGAGAGGAAAAGCCAGGCTGCTCCTCACCATGGAACATTCCTGTCCTGCTGATCCCCAGTCTCACATTCAGCATGGCCTGTGCCTGTTCTTAATTAGGTGGGAATTAAGGGTGATGGGCTCTACACAAGGAAGGTCTGGGAGAAAAAGGGTCAGGCATGAGGATGCCAATAAATTCAGCTGCTTGAGGTGGGAACAGGCTTGGGAAAAGAGTCACAGGGATGGGATCAACCCCCTTTCCTCCCTGAACCTACGGGAAGAGGTGCAGCAGCTCCCTGAGCAGCTCAGGGGAGAGCAAAGCTTTGACTTCCCTTAAAAATCCCAGTTTACACGCTGAAGGTTGAAAGCCAAGTGTTCCAGTGCAGCCCTGAAGAGCAACCAAATCCAGGGAAAACTTCCCAGCACCAAAGCAGGTCTGGAAACAACAGTTCTGTGTGCACAGAGCCCCAGAGGCCCAACTCTGTTCTTTTAGGAAAGCAACAAAGTGGAGGAAGTGCCAGAAAACAACCAGGGGGCTCCAGAATCTTCAGGACTGCACCAAAATCTCCCACCTGGGGGCAGAGGAACAAAGTCCCAAAGAATATTCCAAAGGATGCAACAATTCAATCCCCCTCCAAGACAGAGCAGCAGCATCCACAGCCCCAGGAACCCCTGAAAGTAAAAGAGGGGAAGGATTCCTGCACCTCTCACCTTTTATGGAGAGTTTCAGCCCCCTGATCTCTATCCTCCTGATCCAAGGAGGACCAGGCTCTTCCTGCCCCATGCTCATCTTCAGCCCTCCCTTCATCCCGAGTGCCCTGGAGGAAATCCAAAGTTAGCAGAAAATTAAGACTGAAATCAGGAAACCCCAGAGTGGTTTGGCTTGGAGGGACCTTAAACCCCATCCAGTTCCATCCCCCTGCCATGGGACACCTTCCACCAGCCCAGGTTGCTCCAAGCCCCGTCCAACCTGGTCTTGGACACTTCCAGGGATCCAGGGGCAGCCACAGCTTCTCTGGGCAACCTGTGCCAGGGCCTCCCCACCCTCACAGCCAAGAATCCCTTCCTGATATCCCACCCAAATCTCCCCTTTTCCAATGTGAAGCCATTCCCTGTGTCCTGTCCCTCCACCCCTTGTCCCAGGTCCCTCTCCAGCTCTCCTGGAGCCCCTTTAGGCCCTGCCAGGGGCTCTCAGCTCTCCCTGGAGCTTCTGTTCTCCAGGTGAACCCCCCCAGCTCTCCCAGCCTGGCTCCAGAGCAGAGGGGCTCCAGCCCTGGGAGTAGCTCCATGTTTTCCCCTGGACTTTCTCCAGCAGCTCCACGTGTTTCCTGCGTGAGCTCAGAGTGACTCCAAGGCTACTTGAGTCCCTCATAAATAAAATACAGCCATGAGCTCCATCAGCTCCACAACCTGAGCTCACCACAGGAGCAAACCCTCCCATCCCAGGGCCTGGAATGCAGAGGGATCCTGTTTTTCTGGAATGGCCAACAAAATGCCCTTGGAAATACCTGCAGTGAGGCTGCTCCGGGCTCCTCGGGCAGGGACTGCCCCGGCCTCTCACTCCTCTGGTATTCACAGATCTCCTCCTTGAGCTGCTCCACCTGCAGGACAAACCACTCTCTTGGATTTTCCATGAATGTTCATCTCTCCCAAATGATTCCCCCCCCAAATTCGCTGTAGAGGAACTGCACGTTTATCAATATTAATGAATTTTTAAGTTATTTTCACCTTTATCGTCAATTTATTATCATTCCTCCTCTTGAGGGAGTGGTTGGGATCCCATGGCTGCTCCAGCTGGGAGGACTCAGAGGACTGGGAGAGGAAGGGCAGGAAAAGGGGGAATCTCATGAAGCATTAAAGGGTGATTATCCTTCATTTCTGTCACTCACTGAGCACCCACCCACGGAACACCCCCTGTACTGAGCACTGAGATCCCAGCTGCTGATTCCCAGGACACCTTCCAGCCCTTCTGCCGTGGGATCAGTGGAATTCTGTTCTTGGCAGCAGCTGCTCCCACCACAGGCACTGACTCCACGACCCACAGGCAGGAAAAGACATTTCAGGACACCGAACTGTTGGCAATAAAGTGCATTTTAAGCATCTACAAATTAAAAATTGTGGGTTTTTTAAGTTCTTGCTTTTAGCTTAACCTGTAGTTAGAACTGATCTCAGTCTGGCTGCATTTTTTTCTGCACAGAGAACACGGTATCTCACATGTATCTGTATTTTTTTGTCTCTATACATTTCTTTTTTATAGATATTGAAATATATTTTAATATCAAAATAGATATATATAGATATAAAAATATATTAAATAATAAACATTAGAGGATATTCAGTACAATATTTATTAATATTTGTCCTTAATAATTTCTTAATAATATATATTAATATATTCTGTGTTGTTATATATAATTATATCATATCTTTATATGATATATAAATATAATAAATATTAAACTATATTTAAACCTTGTATTTCTATTTTATGATATCCTATACACACATATGTACCCATAGTGACTGAAAGGAGCAACGTCCTCAAGCAAAGGCAATATTATTTGGAATTAAAAAATAAACTGAGGAATTTGAACTAAATTAATTTTATTATTATATTATCACATTTTTAGGCAGCCCTAGAAACGAACTGTCTGGTAACTACAAGGTCTGAGGTGAAAGATGTGGAAGAACCAGCATTTTTTTTTATGTCAATAAATTAATTCAATACATTATCTGATAAATATCATTCAGGTGAGATCTCCTCAGAGGTATTTGTGTTCATTTAAAAATACCCATTTTATGTGAGAGAACTGCAAGAAAACCACAGAGCTCAGTGCTGGGATGGCCAAAACAATTCCAGGTTGCTGAAGGGCTGATATGGAGGGATTAGGAGATAAGAACAGGCACAGATTTTGTGCCAAATGACACATTTTAACAGGAAACAGGCTGGGTTTATTCCTTCCCTGTTGGCACTCCCAGTGAGGAACTATTTTGCTGATAGTCCCTTAATTGTTCCTTAATTCTAGATGGCATTTAGAGGATTCTGGATGTGTTACATCAGTAGTAATGTCACAGGAAGTCATTCCCTTAGGAAAGCCCCTACAAAAATAGCAAATCAATCACTGCAGCTGCATTAAAAGAGGCTGAGAGGGACCAAAAATCAGCATCAATTTAAAACAGATTTAAAAGCAGCTGCTGGTGGGTTTTAGGCTAAGCTTAGCTAAACTGGACTCTAACCCAGTCCCAGGGAGAAGGTGGATGTGTTGCTTCCTCTGTTTATCCACCTGACTTGGGGCAAATGTGGGCTAAGGGAGCTTGGAGCTGATCCTGCTCCAAAATGTGTCCCAAAGCCCCCATCAGTCTGAGCCCATCCAGCCCCTTCACGTCCAGCAGAGCATCCAACTCTTCCTGCAGGGAGCAGGCTCCAGAGCTGCATTCCTGGGAATTTATTCTGCCCATTTCCCAGATTTTATTATTCTGAGAACCACAAAACAGCCAAACAGCAGTCCTGGAAAGACTGGGGATAGAACAGAGAGGGGAAGGAGGGAGGCAGGGCAGGGCAGGGAGCAGGGAGGGCTTCCAGGAGCCAGCCAGGACTGTCAGGGAACAGGGATGGCTTCCAAGAGCCAGCCAGGACTGTCAGGGAGCAGAGATGGCTTCCAGAACCAGCCCATGGCTGTCAGACAGCAGGAATGGCTTCCAGGAGCCAGCCAGGGCTGTTGGCCCCACTGAGGCCCCTCAGGGCCATGGCAGAGCAGGAGGGGGGTGGCTGTGTGCTCACCAGCTCCAGGAATGCTTTCCTCTCCAGATCCAGCGTCTGGACCCGCGCCCGCAGTGCCAGGATCTCCTTATCCAGCCGGCTGTTGTGCTCCATGGCCTCCTGGAGTTCAGTGCTGCCTGGAAAGCACAGGACAGGACAAACTGGTCACTGAATCCCAGCTGAGGTGGAAGGAACCCACAAGGATCATCCAGTCCAACTCCTGGCCCTGCACAGACACCCCAACAATCCCACCCTGTCCCTGAGAGCGCTGTCCAAACCCTCCTGGAGCTCTGGCAGCCTTGGGGCTGTGCCCACTGCCCTGGGGAGCCTGGTCAGTGCCAACCACCCTCTGGGGGAAGAACCTCTTTCTAATCTCCAACCTGACCGTGCCCTGACACAACTCCAGCCATTCCCTGGCTGCTGTCCCTGGTCCCCCCAGAGCAGAGCTCAGTCCCTGCCCCTCCTCTGCCCCTGCCCAGGAATTGGAACTGCACCGAGGTCTCCCCTCAGTCCCCTCTTCTCCAGCTGAACACACCAAGTGCCCTCAGTGTCCTCACATGGCTTCAAATCAAGGCCCTTCCCATCTCTGTTGCCTCCTTTGGACACTCTCCAATGGCTCAATATCTCCCTGACATTGTGTCCCCCCAAACTGCCCCAATGTTGAGGTGAGGCCGCCCCAGGGCAGAGCAGAGCGGGACAATCCCCTCCCTGATGCCCCCAGGACAGGGATGTCCCTCCTGGCTGCCAGGGCACTGCTGACTCAGGGCCAACTGGCCACCCACCAGGACCCCCAGGGCCCTTTCCCGGCACTGCTCTCCAGCCTCTCATCCCCAGTCTGTCCATCCATCCAAGGTTGCCCCATCCCAGGGGCAGAATCCAGCACTTCCCTTTGTTGAACTTCCCATGGGTGGTGATTCCCAGCCCTCGGATCTGTCCAGGTCTCTCTGCAGGGCCTCTCTGCCCTCCAGGGACTCAACAGCTCCTCCCAGTTTTGGGATCACCTGCAAACTTGCTCAGTGTCCCTTCCAGTGCTGTGTCCAAGTCATGGATGAACATGCTGAAGAGCACAGGGCCCAAGATGGGCCCCTGTGAAACCCCCTGGGGAGAGATGACAGTCTAATGTCACCCAGTCACTGCTCTGGACCTGCCCCAGCTCCCTCAGGGCTCCCAGGCAGCCCCCACACACAGGTGTCCATGGGCAGGAGCACAGACACTCCAGGCGGGAACATCCTCATGGAACAGCATCCTTGTGGAACACATGGGACACCTCCCCATGGAACATATTCACATGGGACACATCCCCACGGAGCACCATCTTCATGGAACACCATCCCCATGGGGCACATCCTTGTGGAACACACCCTTGTGGAACACATCCCCATGGAACACATCCCCATGGAACACAATCTCATGGAACACATCCCTGTGGAACACTATCACCACGGAACACCACTCTCATGGAACACCATCCTCATGGAACATCATCCTTGTGGAACACATGGAACTCATCCCCATGGAACACATCTCCATGGAACACCATCCTCATGGAACACCATTCTCAAGGAACATCACCCCCATGGAATACAACCTCATGGAACACCATTCTCATGGAACCCATCCCCATGGAACACCATTCCCATGGAACACCATTCTCATGGAACACCATTCTCCTGGAACACATTCCCATGGAACCCATTCCCATGGAACCCATTCCCATGAAACCCATCCCCATGGAACACATCCCCATGGAACACATCCCCACAGAACACCATTCTCATGGAACACACCCTTGTGGAACACATCCCCATGGAACCCATCCCCATGGAACACATCCCATGGAACACATCCCATGGAACACACCCCATGGAACACACCCCATGGAACACATCCCCATGGAACACATCCCATGGAACACATCCCCACGGAACACATCCCCATGGAACACCATTCTCATGGAACACACCCCATGGAACACATCCCCATGGAACACCATCCCCATGGAACACACCCCATGGAACACACCCCATGGAACACATCCCCACAGAACACCATTCCCATGGAACACATCCCCACGGAACACCATCCTCTCCCTCCCACAGCGGATCTCCAGTTTCTGGGAGACCCAGGTTCAGCAGCAGTGCTGTGTCCCCTCCAATCCACAGTTATCCCAGGGATTGCAGTTTGCCTCTGGATCACGGAGAATCCCTCCCCTCCCATCCTCAGCACGGGATTCACAAACAGCAAGGAAAGTTTTGGAAAACCCAAACAACCCAAAAATTCCTTATTTTCACCACAAAATGCCTCATTGTCCAAGCGGGAACACAACCAGTTACTGTATCCATGTTTTCCAGGCATTAATATTTATGGAATGGCCGGGACAGGAAAACTGTGGCTGCACAGCAGCCCTTCAAGGCTGAATCAATAAACTAGTGCAATCACAACACCCAGTAATGCACACTCCCAGTATTCCCAGTGCAAAAAACAGGGAAAGGTGTTGGGATGAGGAGCACATGGACGGAATTGTGTCCCAAAAACCAGAGAGGAGACAGTTTTCTTCCCAAAAAAGGGAAGGAAGAGTTTTTCCCTTTACAGCTTAAGGGGCGGTCATGGGAAATTTCAGCTCCACGTTGATTTTTATTCAGGTAAAAATCAAAATATCTCTCCTTGTTTGGTCCCAATTTGAGAAAAATAAAAACATAACCCACAATCCCAATCCCCTGATTCAAACCAGGATTCTGATAATGGAATTTCAGCTGTGCAATTTAAAATAAAGTAAAATAAAATAAAATAAAATAAAATAAAATAAAATAAAATAATATAAAATAAAATAATATAAAATAAAATATATAAAATAAAATATATAAAATAAAGAAAATAAAATAAAATAAAATATAAAATAAAATAAAATATATAAAATATAATATAAAATAAAATATATAAAATAAAGAAAATAAAAGGCAAAGAACCTCTTCACAGAATCACAGAATTGGTTGGGTTGGAAGAAGATCTTGAAAATCTCCTCGTTCCAACCCTCAATTTTCACCAAAGTGAATATTTTACTGAAAAGACACCTGAGTATTTTACTGACGAGCCTTGCTGATAAAATTCTAGCTGTTCTCCACTTACAAACATCCTAAATTGTCCCTCTTTTCCCATTCCTTCCTCTCCAGCTGCTTTCAGGGCTGATCCTACAAGGACAATAAAGGCAGCCCAGTTCTGCTTCTGAGCCCCAAACCCTGCAACATCCTTTATACTCTTTATTAAACACATTCCAAACCCCTCACTCCCAAAACTCCACTAACTGGGCTCAAATTGGCCCCAAACAACCCCATCCACTCCCTCTAACACAAACAAGTTACCCCTGAAGCAAAATACCTTGTTTTAGTAAAGGTCTTTTAGCAAAGATCAGTGATTTCTTTGAGGGTTTTTCTTAGCAAATAAATTTATTTACAGAGCGATCGGCTCTGAATTTGTCAGGAGGAGAAGCAGAGATCCAGCACTGGGGACACCCCTGAGATGTCACACTCGTTTTGCACACCCAGCCCAACAAAAGCCCACAGACATAAAGCATCAAACCCTTACTCACAGTTGGCAAGGCCTGGTATCCATCTGACACTCCAGGAGATCACAAAGCTCCGGGAATGTGCAAGGAACGATCCCTGAGGGTCCCAGGCTGGAGCTGCTCCGTGCTCCGGGTGCTGGAGCTGCCACTGCAGGCTCACCCCATCCCTGGGGACATGTGGATCAATCCACACACCCAGCACAGCCCTGCCTGGCATTAAAGGGCTGGGTGGGATGGGGTTGGAGGCTGGGGAGGAGCTGCCAGGTCCTGGAAGCTCCTGGGGGGAGGTCCAGGTCCTCACACACAGCACCAGGACCTGCCACTCTCCCCTGAACCTGAACCTGGGGTCTCCTGGAGTGACTTGGTCTCACGTGGGGCTGGGATGTGGCAGCTCACCCCAGTTTGCTGCTCTCCACTGGAATTCTGCACCACAGGTTCAGGGACCGTGAGATGATGGATAAAGTCAAACCCAGAGAGGATTCAGAATTTAAGGGAAAAAGCACCTGCAACTCCCTGGATGGACAGAGGTCCATAAACATCTGCTCAGAGGAACAGAAGGGAGTGTGGGACCAGGTGGAGACCATGTGGCCTCCTCCATCCTAATCCCAGCAGAATGGGAGAACATTGCAGGACTGAGACTGTGGCTGACAAGGGACAATCAGGATGTTCTGCTGCCGAAGCCACAACCACATCCAAGCCCCTCCTCAGGTGCCAAACCCCCTCCCATCGGGTACACCCATCAGAAATAAAAAAGTCTTTATGACTAGAGCCACTCCAACTCCACCCAAACAAAAAGAAAATGAGCAAAAATCTGAACTCCCACCTTTCACATGACAGGGACAATGCAAGGAACAAGGAACCCCCCCCCAAAAAAAGCAGCCATACCCCTGCGTCCAGCAAAGCACCTGGACCACTCTGAGAGCAGCTTTACCACATCTCCCTCCAGAAAACTGTTCCCTTCCACAGTATTTCAGTATATATAAATATTTCAGTATTTATAGAAAAATACTAAAAATAAATAAGGGCTAGTCAGCAACAGTTATTTCAGAAATGAGGTGAAGGGACACAATCTAAGTAGTCACTTCATCACTGCTGCTCTTGCCAAGGGCTCCCAGAGGCAACATTCCCAAAGTGCATGTGGAGAAGCCCGGGATGAGGGCTCCAACAAAACCTGTGCACACGGTATTTCAGCTACTCTGTTCCTGTACCAAGTCCTCATTCCCTCTCCATCCCCTCCTAGGGCAGGAATTTCTCCCTGTGGAGGAGCCAGGGAGAGGAATTCAGTCCAGATCTGGTTCTCACGGATCACAGAGCCCCAGTCTCAGAATGAATGGATTTGTAACTGTTAATTATTGCATTCCCATCTCCTAAGGAGCAGGCTAACACCTGATTTTCCCACATTCCAAGCAGGGAGGACACAGGAGAGGCTGCCCCCCCCTCCCCAGAGGAGGGGAGGTGACCTTACCCTGAGTGGGCTGGGCTGAGAACAACCAGGAATTAGGAGTGGCTTTACCTGCTGCACTCTGCTCCTTGCTCGGTGCATCCAACTCCTCTGTCATCCCCTGGAGCTCTTCCTGGGCCCCCATCAGCCTCTGGGGAGCATCATCCAGATCTCCCACAGCTCCTGCAGGTTCCCTCTCCAACTCTTTCCTGCAGAACTGAAGCACAAGGGTTAATGTTCCCCTGGAAATGAGAAAACCCTGTGGAGATGGGACTGAGGCAAAGCTGTTTGTCACCCTCTCTGACACCGGTCCCCTCATCTCCAGTGCCACTTCTGGGACACACCAAAGGCAGGTGATGCCCACAAGGCAGCCCTGACCCAAAGCTCTGAGTGTTCCCTGGCTCCCAGCAGAGGGGATTCACTCCTGCATAGGCTGCTGGGGCTGCACAGCCTGAGGATGAGGCTCTGGAACTGTTCAGGCTGTGGGTTTTCATTCTAAAATCAATTAAACCCCTCCCAGTGTGCTCAAGAAGAGACCTGACATAGGGGGGGGACCACAAGTCTGATGAGGATGAGCTGGGGGGGGCTCAGCTGGAGAAAAGGAGGCTCAGGGGGGACCTTCTGGCTCTGCAACTCCCTGACAGGAGGGGGGAACCGTGGGGGGGTCGGGCTCTCCCAGGGAACGAGGGATAGGAGGAGAGGAAACGGCCTGAAGTTGTGCCAGGGCAGGTTTAGATTGGATATTAGGGAAAATTCCTTCACAGAAAGGGTGGTCAGGCACTGGCACAGGCACCCAGGGCAGTGGTGGCCACCACCCCTGGAAGTGCTCAGAAAATATGTGGGTGTGGCACTTGGGGACACAGTTCAGTGGAGAATGTGGCAGTGCTGGGTTAATGGCTGGACCTGATGATTTCAGAGGGCTTTTCCAACCTTTTGAGTCTATGAAATCTCAACTATGAGCTGTGCCACCAGCAAGAAAATGTATTTCCTTTCTCACTGTCCCTTAGGAAGCAGCTGGGGCAGTCCAGCTCCCAATGCCTGGTGAGTGTGACCAGAGCCAGCCTTGCACAGGAGATTTTAATGCACAGCAGCACCAGGCAGAGCATGGCCATGTGTCTCTTGGCCCTGCCATGTGCCCCTTGGCACCACTGAGGGGGATTTTCACCTTCAACACGTCTTGACTAGAGGGGTGTTGCCATCGTGCCTTATATTTGAAGGGAATGTTTCAATCAGAGTTATTCCAAATCCTTGGGAAAATACCCCAGTTGTCCCAGTGGGTACTGGGAGCTCTGTGGGTTCACTGCTTTTTTTTAAAACCTCTGATATCCTGGATCTGCCTTTCAGAGCCAGAGGGCACAGCTTCACCCAGAGAGTGTTGGCACAGAGTGTGATTGACTCCCTTTATCAGAGTAACACTGGGAGGCTTAGGATCATGGAATGGTTTGGGATGGAAGGGACCTTAAACCCCATCCAGTGTCACCCCTTGCCCTGGTCAGGGACACCTCCCACTAGCCCAGGTTGCTCCAAGCCCTGTCCAACCTGGCCTTGGACACTTCCAGGGATGGGGCAGCCACAGCTTCTCTGGGCAACCTGTGCCAGGGCCTCCCCACCCTCATAGCCAAGAATTCCTTCTTAATATCCCATCCAACCCTGCCCTCTGGCAGTGGGAAGCAATTGCCCCTTGGCCTGTCCCTCCACCCTTTGTCCCCAGTCCCTCTCCAGCTCTCCTGGAGCCCCTTTCAGCCCTGGAAGGGGCTCTCAGGTCTCCCTGGAGTTTCCCTTCTCCATTTGACCACCCCCAGCTCTCCCAGCCTGGCTCCAGAGCAGAGGGGCTCCAGCCCTGGGAGCAGCTCCGTGGCCCCCTCTGGATTCTCTCCAGCAGCTCCACGTCCTTCCTGTGCTGGGCCCCCAGGGCTGGAGGCAGCTCTGCAGGGGGGTCTCACTTGAGGGGGGCAGGGGGATAGAGTCCAAATTTAATTGGCCTTTGGGGTGCAAACAGACACTGTGGGCTCCTGTCCAGCTTTCCATCCATGAGAACCCCCAAACCCATCCCTGTCTTTTGAGCCATTTACAAACCCACTCCTGCTCCCCCCATGAACCAGCACTGAGGGTTCCTGAGGCTCAGCAGGTTGGTGTCACCCATATTTTGCACTCCTGGAGATGTTCCTGAGCTCCCACACACCATGACCCCAGAATATTTCCCCGTGGATCTGTCAGAGCCGACCACACAAACTGCAGGTTTGGACCCCTCTTGCTGCCTTAGTGGTGACACATCAAAACAATCAGTTCTGCTTGGTCAGTCTGGCTAAAAGCTGAATTCATCCCTGTACCAGACAGGACAGGGATGGTCCTTCATCCCAAGAGTGGGACAGGTCAGCTGGGAACAAGCAAGGCCACACATTCCCGCAAACAGGGTAAGAGGAGCAATTAACCCATTAACCTGTAACACTGTTGGGACTCTAATGACTCTGTGAAACAAGAGTGATGCTCCCCTGAACAATGGGGTGCTTAATCCACAGTTTCTGGTTCACAGGGATGGACAGCAATGACATCATCTGGCGGGAATAATCAGTCTCAGGGAGACTGTTTTCCGGGAAAACAGATCTCCCAAAGCGTCCTTCACCTGGTTTAAAACCACAGAAATGGTGCCCGGTGCCAGAACTGGGGAGAATTTGTGTTTGGTGGAAAACAAGGGGCATTAGGCTTATAAAAATTCCCTAAAAGTGTTCAAGGTGAGGTCCAGTGGAGGGTGTCCCTCTCTCCTCCAAACCCAAACTGTTGTGGGATTCCATTCCTGTCCACAGGAAGAAACTGGAAGGCACAAAAGCAGAAGGCCAAGCCCTGACCCCTCTCTGAGGTCTTGCCCCCTCTCCCTGCTTTCCCCCAGCTCCAGCTCCTTCCTCATTTCTTGGTCACTCAGGAGACAAACAGCAGTTCACAGAATTCCAGAATTCTCCATGAAATAGCCACAGTCAGGAGTAGGTGGGAATTGGTGGCCTTAAAATCATAGAAAGGACCCCCAAGTATCATCCAGTCCAACTCCTGGCCCTGCACAGACACCCCAACGATCCCACCCCGTCCCTGAGAGCTGTGCAGACGTGGGAGCAAATCAAATGCCAATGTCCAAGGGTGGAAACTAAGAAATCTAGAATCAAAGAATTCCAGACTGGTTTGGGTTGGAAGGGACCTTAAAGCCCATCCAGTGTCACCCCTTGCCCTGGTCAGGGACACCTCCCACTAGCCCAGGTTGCTCCAAGCCCCGTCCAACCTGGCCTTGGACACTTCCAGGGATGGGGCAGCCACAGCTTCTCTGGGCAACCTGTGCCAGGGCCTCCCCACCCTCCCAGGGAAGGATATCTTCCCAATATCCCATCTAAAGCTACTCTCTGGCAGTTTGAAGCCATTCTCCTGGTCCTGGCACTGTCTGCTCCTGTAAATAGTCTCTCTCCACCTTTCCCGTAGCTCCTTCAGGTACTTCACCACTGAGACTCCACTGGGGACTCAGAGACAGGAGAAATCGTTGTAATTGTAGAAATATCCCAAAGACATTCCCTTCCCAGCCCGAGCAGCTGAGCAGGAGGTACCTGGATGCCCTCTGTGGTGCTGTGGAGCAGCCCCAGTTTCCCCAGCAGTGCTGTCCTCTCCACCAGCAAATAGGCGACCTGCTCGCTGGCAGCGCTGTGAGCGATCTGGGACAGCCCTTCCTGCTGCAGCAGCTCCTCCACCTCCTTCAGCTGGGCTTCTGCAAGGCAAGGCAAGGCTTGGGGTGAGCAGAGGAGCAATCAGGGCGTGATTTCCTGCAGATCTGCTTCCCAGATCCTCTAATTCCCCAGCGCAGCAGCTCCTGTTTCTCCTGGAGCCCCACAGCTCCTCAAGTCTCTCCTGCTTCCCACTCCCTGTTCTTACCTGTTATCTCAGCCCTACTCCCTCTCTCCCAAGGTTTCTGCTCATTCATCCCCTTCCCTGCCTGCCAAGTCATAGGACCTACTTGGAGCTCTCCTGCCTGGTTTTCCAGGGAGGAGTTTCTACAACCATCTTCTCCTCCCAGCCTGGTTTATCCTCACACCATTAACCCCGAGTGGTGGAAACTAAACAGGTTAAACACGAGGGAACCATGGAATCAGTAAGGAAAAGACCTCAAAGATCATCAAGTCCAACCTTCAGATACCCAAGACCTCTTGGAGAGAAGCAGACATTTTCTTCATCAAGAGACACAAAACACTGGATCACTCCTAGAGAGCATCACTATTTTCCCAAAGAGAGAGGCAGATCTAAATATCTTTAAGAATCAATCCTTCACCATTTATCCCAAAATTATAGCCAGGAACACCCTGCACTGGGAAAAACTTCCAGATTCAATGGCAGATTTGTGACAACAGCACTTGCAGAAGTCAGTTTATGGCCAGGCACTGCTGTGTTTGTGGAACAAACAGGTGCTAAAAAGATTCCCTCGTTTTTGTGGCTGGAATTTACCTGCCAAGAGAAAATGAGGAAACTTTGGTCTCTGGAGTGGTCAGGGTAGTAACTCCTGCACCAGATCCAGCAGCTTGTGGAGCCAGGGAAGGGCTTTTCCAACCCTCCCTGTGTAATTCATATTAAAACAAATCCAAATTTCTGCCCCAAACAAGGTTATAAAGGTTTCTGAGTGCTGCAGGATGGGAGTTCAGGGAGTTGTAAGGAAGAAGGAGGGATATTCCCACTTTTTCACTCAGGAAGCTGGAGGTTGGACAACTGCTGTCCAGCAGAGCAAATATTCCTCTCCCCCAGAACACACAGAGCTCTGGACAAGCCTGGCCCTCCCTTCCCTGCACTGATTTAACCACATCCCGAGGCTCCAATCAATCAATGCCATGTTTCCACTCCGCTGTTCCAGCCCTGTGGATGGAAAACACCCTGCGGTCCCCTGGGGTCCCAGAGCACAGCTCAGTCAATAGGGGGTCAAACAGGGCCCACCAGCAAACAGGGCTTTGGGCAGCATCAAAATAACTGGACTTGCTCCGAGCATGTGCACCAGGAAGAGCCCATGGATCCCAGGAAACGGCCCCCAACCTGCCTTGCAGTTTGCTCCCAAATCCCAGCTACAATGAAGGGGGAACTGCTCTGATTTATGGCTGGGAATGGGACCCCCCATAGAACTGACACCTTCCCCTGCCAGTGCTTCCCTCATACCCTGCCAAGTAACGTCTACTGGTACAGCCTCAGATCCCAGACATTTTCCACAGGCTGAGGAGGGGAAAAAAGGATTTGTGAGGATGAGAATGGTCTGCCATGCCCAGCACAGGTCACCTGCTTGTCAAACCCACTGATTTCTCACAAACCCCGACCCAGCAGGTCTGGGAAGAGCCAACAGCTCCCCCAGGCACTGTTCCACCAGAGCACTGCTGGGTTCCCACTGCCACCTCCTGTCCTTGCTTGTTTGGAAGCAAGTTTTATATTTGTATTTTCCTGCCCCAGGAAGACTCTCAGAAGCAGCAGCTCAGTGGTGTCCTCACCTCAGCACAGACCTGCCCTGGCCCTGCTGGGTGTGTTTCACCAGTCCAGCTGTTCCAGCTGCTACAACAAACAAGCTCAGACCACGACTATTTATTCTTTTTATTCCACTTTTGAAACAAATGGAGGCAGCTCCCCCCAGTGGGGTGCTTCACTGCCCATTCCAGTTGTTTTTCAGGAAGGCTTTTGGCACCACAGCACATGTGCCATTGACCTGCCCCCCACCAACACCCCGGAGTGTCCAACGAGAGCTGTCAGATCAGGAACCACCTGGAGGGGAGGAAAAATGTCACTCTGGGCAGAAGATCCACATGAGGTGAAGCTCAGCTCCATGGCCCAGCAGAAACCAGTCCTGGCTGCTCCAGCAGGAACCTGTGCCAGGCACAGAGTAAATCTGTGAGCAGGGATTTGTGTCATCAGAAACTACTCGGGGTCAGTGATGGGCATTAATGATCCTCAGAGCCTGAAGGGGCTCCAGGAGAGCTGGAGAGGGACTTGGGACGAGGGGTGGAGGGACAGGACAAGGGGGAATGGTTTTAAATTAAAAGAGGGGAAATTTAGATGGGATATTGGGAAGGAGTGAAGGTGGTTTGGCCCTGGCACAGGTTGCCCCAAGAAGCTGTGGTTGCCCCATCCCTGGAAGTGTCCAAGGCCAGGTTGGACAGGGCTTGGAGCAACCTGGGCTGGTGGAAGGTGTCCCTGCCCATGGCAGGGGTGGGACTGGAGGGCTTTAAAGTCCCTCAAACCCAACCCAGTCTGTGATTCCATTCTATGAAACAACAGATCAAGTTGCTCCAAGTGATCCCAGATCAAGGTCTCCAGCCTTTACCTGAGTCTTTGCCCCTCCCTTCTCACCTCCCAGCTCCAGCTGTGAGGACAAGGCAGAGCAGGACAGATCCTGCCCCTCACACCATTCCCAGCTCAGGCCCCTCCTTTGTACCACAATCTTGAACCAGTCACTGTTCCCAACTGCCCTTTCAGGTTCTCCTTCCAATTCTCCCAAAAGCTCCCAACCACCACCCTCTCCTCTTGCCTCACCCACATTTTTAACAGTCCCAGCAGACCTGGGTCTGCCTTTCCACAAGACCCTTGTCCATCCTGATCTGCAGGATCATGTGTCCCTACTGCAGACACCCAGCTGTCCCCAAAAACAAGAGGGGGAGCAATACCAGAGCACAAGTGCGAGGAGGAGCAGCTGAGGGAACTGGGGGGGCTCAGCCTGAAGAAAAGGAGGCTCAGGGGGGACCATCTGGCTCTGCAACTCCCTGACAGGAGGGGGGAGCTGGGGGGGGGCAGGCTCTGCTCCCAGGGAACAAGGGACAGGAGGAAACGGCCTCAAGCTGTGCCAGGGGAGGGTCAGGTTGGATATCTGGGAAAAATCCTTCACAGAAAGGGTGGTCAGGCACTGGCACAGGCTGTGCAGGGCAGTGGTGGAGTCCCCATTCCTGGAAGTGTTCAGAAAACCTGTGGATGTGGCACTTGGGGACACAGTTCAGGGCTGACCTTGGCAGTGCTGGGGGAATGGTTGGACTTGATCTCAGAGGGCTTTTCCAACCTTAACAATTCCATGATTCTGTGGTCTCTGATGAAAAGCAGAGGCTCGGGGAATGGGCACAGGGATACAGACAGGACTCAGCAGCAGAGCAGCCCGAGAGAATCCTTTGGGAATGTGGCACAGCACAAGCACATCCATCTGCTCCATGCCAGAGATGGCCAGGGGGGTTTTTCTGTGAAGTGGCTGAGCCAGAATCATGGAATCAGAGAATATCCTGAGCTGGAAGGGACCCCCAGGGATCATCCAGTCCAAATCCCCGACAACCCCAACAATCCCACCCTGTCCCTGAGAGTGTTGTCCAAACCCTCCTGGAGCTCTGGCAGCCTTGGGGCTGTGCCCACTGCCCTGGGGAGCCTGGGCAGTGCCAACCACCCTCTGGGGGAAGAACCTTTTCCTAATATCCATCCTAAACCTCCCTGGCACAGCTCCAGCCGTTCCCTGGGTCCTGTCCCTGGTCACAAAGAGCAGAGATCGGAGCTGCCCCTCAGGAGGAGCTGCAGACCCTGAGGAGTCTCCCCTCAGCCTCCTCTTCTCCAGCTGAACAAACCTGCAAAGCAAAAACCCAAAAAAACTCAATAAAACACTCCACAAACACCTCGAAACACCTCAGGGCTGCCCCCCCCTCCCTGCAGGGGACAGCCTGGGGGAGCAGGGCCTTCTCCACTGCCCACATCCCTAAATTATCTCCACACATCACTAATGCCAGCACTGAGGTACAGGCAAGCCTTAAAACCCACAATCTGCCAGTGATATCCCAAAAGCCCTCCAGAAAAACCCTATGGCATTGAATCCACAAAACCCCCCTGGGAACGACACGACCACAATTAAAATCAAGATGCATGGACACGGATCTCGGCTTCCAGTCCAGGCTTAATCATTGCTCAACAGCCACAAGAATCCCTCAGAAGTGGAAGAAGTCCAAGACCGGGAGGGAACCACTGCACTTCAGCTTTGGGGAAGGCCTGTCCTTCTCCTGCCACCTCGTGGGCAGTGAGAGAAGAACCAGGAACAGAGTTTCCTGCCACAGTGATGCTCCCAAAAACTCATTAATCATTTCGATCCCTTGTAACCAGCATTTTCACCACAAACCACCACTCGAGGTGCCCAGAGGAACCAGAATTTTAGGCAAACCCATCTTTGGAAAGTCCTTCTGTCACATGTGCTCCTTGAGAACCCAAAAGATGCTCAAAACCACAATCAGTTTGCCCAAAACTCCTGAATTTGCTGTCCCAAACAAAGCCTATATCACAAAGAAGCTGTGCCATCACCCCCAGTTTTACCTTAGGGCCAGGACAATACATCCCATGAAAGGAGTTGATGTAACAAAGGCACTCAAAGCACAACAAAAGACTGAAGAAAATCAAGATTTAAACCCCCCCAAAAAAACCATTTGCTGTTACTGGAAGTGACCCCAGAGTTTGAAAATAAATTATTTGAAGCAAAATAAATGAAATAATTCCTTTAAACAAAATTACTGCACCTAAAATAGTGGAGTTCTAAGGGGCTCCAAGCAACTTGGGGTAGTGGAAGGTGTCCCTGCCACGGCAGGGAGTGGAACTGGATGGGCTTTAAGGTCCCTTCCAACCCAGACCATCCTGGGATTCTGTGACAATAAACACACACAAGTTGTGAATCCCCAGTACATGACACTGTCCCTCACAGTTGCTTTAAAAAATGGGGAGTTTGTGTAAACCAAAGCCAAAGGCAAATTCACTGCCTGGGTGGGAGTGAGGAGTCAATGACAGATAAATTAGTGTTGGAAAGCAAACAGCACCATCAGTTCTGGCCTTCAAACAGCCTCTGGAAGAGGCAACAACGGAGCCACAGGGAGAAAGTGCCAAATTCCCTGAATAAAGGCAGTGAAAGCAGGCAAGAACCTCTAAATCAATTAAAAATCGGCTCTAGCAGCTCATTAACACTTTTAGCAACCTCCCAAAGAGCAAACCACTGAGACATCCCTGAGGACTCCCTGAAAACTCCATAAGAACTCCCTGAGAGCTCCCTGAGAATTCCCCAGAAAGGCTGCTCTGATCTCCAGGAAGGTTTAACACCTGCCAGGGCGTTCCCTGGGCCCGTGGGGAGGAGGGATCACAACTCCAAATCAACTCCAGCAGCTCATTAACACTTTCATCAACCTCCCAAAGGGCAAAGCACTGAGAGCTCCCTGAGAAGTCCCTGAGAGCTCCCTGAGAATTCCCCAGAAAGGCTGCTCTGCTCTCCAGGAAAGTTTAACACCTGCCAGGGCGTTCCCCGGGCCGTGGTGAGGAGGGATCATTACCCTGGAGCAGCTGCAGCCGTGCCAGCTCCAACCTGAGCTGCTCGTTCTCCCTCTCGTGCTCCGAGGCGATGGCATCCCGCTCCTCCGTCAGGGCACGCACGTGGCCCACGTAGCTCTCCACCTGGAACGGGGAAAACAGCCCTTTCCACCCAGAACAGGGAAAACAGCCCTACCCCTGTGGCTGCCAGAGCCTCCCCAAGGGCCACAAAGAGCTCTGCCACCTTCGGATTTAAAGGATAAGCCCAAGTATTGGTAGGACGCTGCACCTTCGGAACAGCTGGGATGGGAAAACCTTGCCTGGGAGGGGGTGAGGTGTGGGGGTGCTGGGATGGGGGGGGCTCTGAGCCACGGCTCTGTGGGAGATGCTGGGCTCACCACCTGCTTTTTGATGCCCCTACATGAGGAATGGGGACGTAGTGGGGATGCCCTGAGTTTCCCAGGGCAGCAGAGTGGCTGTGACACCCCTGGACATGCTGCTGCACAGAGGGGATGTGGGACTGGGTGGGTTAAACCCAGAGGGGATCAGAGGATCACTTAGGTTGGAAAAGACCTCCAAAATCATGGAGTCCAATCTGTGCCTGATCCCTATCTGGGCACTGAGTGCCACACCCAGTCCTTCCTCAGACACCTCCAGGGATGGGGACTCCACCTGGGCAGTCCCTTCCAATGCCTGACCACCCTTTCCATGAAGAAATTCCTCCTGATGTCCAACTTGACCCTCCCCTGGCACAGCTGGAGGCCATTTCCTCTCCTCCTGTCCCTTGTTCCCTGGGAGCAGAGCCGGACACCCCCCAGCTCCCCCTCCTGTCAGGGAGTTGAGAGTGAGAAGGTTCCCCTTGAACCTCCTTTGCTCCAGGATGAGCCGTCCCAGCTCCCTGAGACATTTCTTGTACTCCAGCCCCTTCCCCAGCTCCGTTCCCCTCTCTGCACTCACCAGAGGGATGGGCCACGGCTGGTGACCACACACCCCCTGAACACCTCCAGGGACGGGGACTCCATCACTGCCCTGGGCACCTGTGCCAGTGCCTGACTGCCCTTTCCATGAAGGAATTTTCTCATCCAACCTGAGATTCCATGAAGGAATTTTCTCACCCAACCTGAACCTCCCTCGGCACAACGCGAGGCCACTTCCTCTCATCCTGCCCCTTTCTCCCCAGGAGCAGAGCCCAGCACCCCCTCCGGCTCCCCCTCCTGTCAGGGAGCTGCAGAGAGTGAAAGGTCCCCCCGAGCCTTCTTTCCTCCAGGCTGAGCCCCCCCAGCTCCCTCATCCCTGGTGCTCCAGCCCCTTCCCCAGCCCGCTCCCATCCCAGGACAGCTCCAGCAGGGTCCCTTACGTCTCTCATGTCCTGCTCCCGCCGCCGTTCCAGCTCTCCCAGCCGTGTCTCCGCTCTCCGGAGCAGCCGCCAGGCCAAGCCCAGCAGCTCCTGGGCCGGGGCCGCGGGGTCCGCGCCCTCCGCCCGCAGCCAGCGCAGCACCGCGTCCGCCGGCACCGGGGGCTCGGCCTGGGGGAGAGAGGGCAGTGAGACGGGGGACGACTGACCCCCCGAGCCCCCCACGGGGGTACAACTGGTCCCCTCAGCCCCGGGTGCCGGGGGTACAACTGACCCCCCAAATCCCCGGGCCGGTCCCGGGGGTACAAACGATCCCCCTCAGCCCCAAACCAGGCAGTACAGCCGACCCCCCGAACCCCCTGCGGGGGTACCACCGACCCCTCTCAGACCACGATCCCAAACCCGGGGGTACCACCGACCCCTCTCAACCCCGATCCCAAACCCAGGGTACAACTGACCCCCCGAAACCCCGGGCTGCTCCGGGGGATAAAACAACCCTCCGAGGGGTACAACCACCGCCCCTCAGCCCCCGATGTCGGTCCAGGGGCACCACCGCCCCCCCGATGGTAACCCCGGGGGTACCACAGGGCCCCCCGGGCCCGCTCCGGGCACCCACCGGGGCGGCGGCCGCGTCCATGCGGCGGGACGGACCCCCGTCGCCATGGCAACAGGACACGCCCCCAGAGGACACGCCCCCAAAGAGCGAGGTCTTGAATCGGGCTATGAGGCCACGCCCCCAACCAATAGTGTTGTGGGGGGCGCGAGGCCACGCCCACTGTCACGCCTCCAGCCAATAGTGTCGTGCAGGGGCAGTCTGAGGCCACGCCCTTGACCACTCCCCCACGCGACGGGCGCCCCCTGGCGGGGGTCCCGCGGGACAGACTGACCGCCAAAAATCCCAACAAACCGGGCAAAAAGTTATCCCGGTTTTCTTCCATGGGAAACTGCTGGAGCTGAACCGAGCATGGAGAGGTGTCCGGGGAGACCTTAGAGCCCCTTCCATAGAGCCCCTTCCAGTGCTCAGGTGAGACCCCCCTGCAGAGCTGCCTCCAGCCCTGGGGGCCCAGCACAGGAAGGACGTGGAGCTGCTGGAGAGAGTCCAGAGGGGGCCACGGAGCTGCTCCAAGGGCTGGAGCCCCTCTGCTCTGGAGCCAGGCTGGGAGAGCTGGGGGGGTTCACCTGGAGAAGAGAAGGCTCCAGGGAGACCTGAGAGCCCCTTCCAGTGCCTAAAGGGGCTCCAGGAGAGCTGGAGAGGGACCTGGGACAAGGGATAGAGGGACAGGCCAAGGGGGAATGGCTTTAACCTAAAAGAGGCTTGATCCAGACTGGGATTTTGGGGAGAAATCCTTCCCTGTGAGGATGGGGAGGCCCTGGCACAGGTTGCCCAGAGAAGCTGTGGCTGCCCCACCCCTGGAAGTGTCCAAGGCCAGGTTGGACAGGGCTTGGAGCAACCTGGGCTAGTGGAAGGTGTCCCTGCCCATGGCAGGGGGTGTAATGAGATGGGCTTTAAGGTCTGTCCCAACCCAAAGATGATTCCTTGAGATGGTGGAACTGCAAAGTGAAGCACAAGGGAAGGAGAAGACCCAGCCATGGAGAAGAGACACAGCAGAGCACAGGGCGGACCTTCCATGGGCAGTCAGGGATCCCCAGAAAGCCCTGGACAGATGGTCCTGGACCTGCAGGAGCCCCTTCCAACTCATGGTACCACACTCAGCACCCCCAAAAGGGAAGGGCTGGTGCCCAAATATGGCCAGGCTGGAGCATTCCTGGGCTTAGGAACAGGATCAGCTCCTGCTTGGAACAGGATCATCCCCGACATGGGACTGGGGTGGCTGTGGCTCAGGAGTCTCCCCAACCTGGGCCTAGCAAGGAGAGGCAGATACAACCCCCACAGTGGTGTTCCCAGCCCCTGAGACCCCACAGGGCCTGGGGCAGGTGATGCCCCAATCTGCTCTCCAAACCGTTCAGATCACTGCTCTCCTTCCCAACCGTCTCCCAGAGGAATCCCAGAACAGTCCAAGACAGTGTGGGCGGCACTTTTCCCACTCTGTGTCCCAGCACTCCTGCAAGGGCACCTTCAACTTACACAAGCTCTGACATTCTCATCCCTGCTGATCCATCCCTGCTGCTGGCAGCTCCAAAGACAAGGGAAATCCCTGAACTAGCAGGACTTGACATTCCCAGTGATTACACACTGGCAGAGGAAGACAGGCAGCTCTTGGAGCTTCTCCACTTCTCTCACCCCCTTCTCTATCAGTCCTGGCCACCTTGAAGTTGTGAGTTCCTTCTCCAGCTGGATCTCAGCCCTCCTGAACAACCTGGACTCTTTCTCCCATCCCTAATGGAATCTCCTGATCCCATTCCCACACTCTTTTCTTGCTCTTCTGGGTTTATTTTCCCCCATTTTATGAGCACACCTCACCTTCACGTGACAGTGTAATTACAACATCTCTGCTGCCTCCTTGAACCCACGATGGTTTTAACCAGGGCAGTCCCCCCTCTGGAGAGGTATCCAGTGTTCCTAAGTGCTGTTGTCTTCCTTTCCAGGCTCCCAGTGACTTTATTGCAAGGACAAGCAGGTGAGCAGGCACACAGTGAACAGCAGCAGAGCTGCACTGAAGGTTTTTACCATTTTGGTTCTTGCAGACACACAGGAACAAACGCTTGGAAGTTGGGAATGGGATGGAAGAGGGTTTAGAGAAAAGCAGGAATGTCCCAGTCTGAACTCCAGCCAAGAGGCAGCTCCTCCCAGGGTCCATCACTGCCACTCCTGCTCACCCAGAACCATGGAATCAAGGTTGGAAAAGCCTCTTGAGATCACTGAGTCCAACTATTGACCCAGCACTGCTGTGTTCACACCAAACCAGGTCCCCAAGTTCCACACCACACATTCCTTGAACACTTCTAGGGATGGGGACTCCACCACTGCCCTGGGCAGCCCCTTCCAACAACTGACCACCCTTTCCATGAAGGAATTTTCACAATATGAAAACGTGAACCTCCCCTGGCACAATTTGAGGCTGTTTCCTCTCATCTTGTCCCTTGTTCCCTGGGAGCAGAGCCCGACCCCCCCGGCTTCCCCCTCCTGTCAGGGGGTTGTAGAGAGCAAGAAAGTCCCCCCCTGAGCCTCATTTTCTCCAGGCTGAGCCCCCCCAGCTCCCTCAGCTGCTCCTGCTGCTCCAGACCCCTCCCCAGCTCCTTCCCAGGACACCTCCCCCCTCAGTGCCCCCTCCTTTTCTCCAACCCCTTGTCCCCAGGCTCAGATCCATCCCCTGTGCCCCATGCCACGTTTCCCTGCCTTTATCCCCTCCAGCAGCCTATGAACACCTGGGATGGGAGGAAAACCTTTGAAGCAGCTGCTTTAGGGCCACTCTACAGCACCTACTGCTGAGCTGTAGGAACTGGGACCTCTCCTGGCACAGCAGCTGCTCCCCAAAGTCATTGTCACCTCATTCTCCTCCTTTTCCCACCCTTGTTTCACCATCCACCCTCAGCACCAGCTGATTCCCCACTCCCGTCATAAAACCAGCACATCTTTGCTGCAAAGCCCCATTCCGTCCTCCAGCCATCCCAAAAGAAACTTGGAAGAGAGAGATTCAAGAAGTTCTTTATATTATATAGACACCTGCACCATTTCTCCTCCTGCCAGGGGACAGAAACCAAATCCTTTCCTGCTCTGGACACCGGGAGAAAGCTCCTTTGGAAGGGTTTCACTTCCATGTATTTCTCTTTCCCGAAGCCATGACAAATCATGGCCAAGCTGTGGAGAAGTGACACAGTTTTGGATGGGCCTCCAGAGCGTCCTGGAGGTTTGGTTTATTTACCTGGACAGGGAATCACTCCAGGGAATCATTCCAGTTCCTCTCCAGCACAATTCCCAGCTGCTCCTCAGCCTTTCCTCTCTATGAAGGCCGTGTGCTGCCCCTGCAGGTAACTCACAATTTTCTCCTCTATCTCCATGCCTTGTGCTAGTTCCTCCTCAGAGAGGGACAGGGGGGTCTGTGAGTCGCTGGTGACGATGATGACAGAGGTCCTGCGGGATTCCAGGACGTTGGCCACCACCACCTGGTGCCGGTACTTCTCCAAAGCCTGCCGGGATTTGTCGATCAGGATCTGGGGATCCGTCTCCAGCTTGAAGGAAATCACAAAGGCCTCAGGGGCCCAGTCTCTGACCAGGGGGGACAGCATTTTTGGCACCATCTTCATTGTGATCTGTGAAGGACAAAAAAAACCCGTCAGTCGAAACATCACGGTGAGTTTTAGTAAGAGAGGGAAATTCCAGCTTGCAGCGGGAAGTTCTGCAAGGCAGTGTTTGATCAGCCCTCAGCAAACAGTGCTCAAATGTCACTGCAACGCCCTGTAAATGGAACTTGAAGGACCAGTGAGGTGCCACCAATAAGCAGGGTGTAAATTCAATTCAACTTAATTCAACTCAATTCAATTCAACTCAACCCAACTCAGTTCCATGACCAAAGTGGTGCCCACAAAAAGCAGGGGAGCTCTGAAGCAGAGCCACAGGAACTCTGCATTCCCAGAGCTAAACCCCACTCTGGGAATATAAATATAAGCAGGGGAAGATTTAAAAAAAAAAGAAAAAAAAGCGTTACAGCTTCAGAAGTCTGAGTTTTTCAGCTCTCTACAATCCAGGCAGTTTATTCCACCTTCAGCTTTGCTTCTCTCAACTCCTTAAGGCACATGAGGCTTCAAAGTCCCAAAGCACAGGGGGGAAAAAAGTAGGAGACTCTGTTCTCCAGCTTCCCATCACTGGGAATCAGGTTGGGTCCCACCTTTCTGGTGCTAATGATAAAGAAATAAGCCCAGAAGCTGATTAAATTCAATTAATTTGGTGTTTGTTACACACAGAGCTCTGGAGTCAACTGCTCCCATCACTGAGAGGGCAAGAGACGTGTGTGCTGGACCATCATCGGTGCAGGCAGGATGGATCCAGAGTCGTGGAATGGTTTGGTTTGAAAGAGACCCTAAAGACCATCTTGTTCCACCCCATGCCATGGGCAGGGACACCTTCCACTAGCCCAGGTTGCTCCAACCTGGCCTTGGACACTTCCAGGGATGGGGCAGCCACAGCTTCTCTGGGCAACCTGTGCCAGGGTCTCCCCACCCTCCCAGGGAAGATTTCTCCCCAAAATCCCAGTCTGGATCAAGCCTCTTTTAGGTTAAAGCCATTCCCCCTTGTCCTGTTACTCCAGGCCCTTGTCCAAAGCCTCTCTCCAGCCAGAAGGCAGCAGCTCAAGTACTGCAGGAGCTATTCTTGGAGCACTTCAGCTCCCTGAGACCCACCTCTCCTCGTCTCCATGGAAGCACAGACAGCTCTAAAGGACAAAGCCAGAAGAGCAGGAGGCATCTCACAGGTGCCCCTTCACATTCCACAGCACAACTGCTGATATGTTGGAGCTGCTGCCTCTCACACCCAGAAAGAGCAGTGCTGGACACCGCTCCCTCCCTGTGGATAACCCATGGATAACCCACGGATAATGCACGGCACCACTCACTGCTGGGGCTGGAGTTTGCCACTCAACCCCCTTCATGCCATCCTAAAAATAAACCTGGATCAAAGCAAAGCAGGGCTGACCCTGCCCTGCCCTTTATCTGGGCCCCTTGGTGCAAGATAAGAACAAAACAATGCAACTCCAGCATTTCCAACCCTGTGGAAAAACTCGCCCTCCCATTCCCTCTGAGAACACACATGAGCCGGTGCTTTGCAGCTTTCCCAGGCTTTATCCACAGCCAGGCATGACCCTGGCAGCAAGGAGGGGGTGGCAGAGAGGGGGGGCCTCACCTGCAGGGGCCCCTCCGAGGACTGGATCTTGTGCTCAGGCATCTCAGAGGCCGGAATGTAGAAATCGGACACGGCGGCTGCCAGGTAGAACATGACACTGGAGCCTGTGGGAAAGAGCTGCTGTCACCCCTCCATGGCCTGGCCCTGTCACCCCTCCATGGCCTGGCCCTGTCACCCCAGGGACCCCAGAGCCAGCAGGGCCCCCCTCAGAGCAGCCCCAGCACCGCCCTGAGCAGGGCAGCGCTGCCCCCTCACAGGGGTCCCTCACACACACCATCCCCCACTGGGGTCCATTCATGCCAGAGCCCCACAGTCAACAGGGCCACCTTGTCACCTCACACCTGGGCTCTGGGGCCACCCTGAGGGGGCCATATTGTCCCTTCACACCAGGGACATCCCCCCTCACCTGGCCCCCACAGCCACCACATCCCCTCATGCCCATGTCCCCCAAAATGGGGGCCCATGTCCCCTCAGGCCCGGGCCCCCTCCCGAGGCCACTCTGTCTCCTCACACTGGGGACCCCCAAAGGGGCCTCATCCTTCTCTTGCCTTACACCCCCCACGCCAAGGCCACCCCAGTTCTTCCCTGTCCCCTCACACCAGGGACCCTCCTGGGGCCACCTCATCCCCTCACACCCGCTGTCCCCCCATTTCCTCCATCCCTCACACTGGGGAGCCCCACAGGGGCCTCGTTCTCTCTTGCCTTCCACCCCCCCACCTGAAGGCCACCCTGTCCCCTCATTCCTAGGTCCCCCCAGTTCTTTCCTGTCTCCTCACACCGTGGGGGGGACCCTCCTGGGGTCACCCCATCCCTTCCCACCTGGTATCCCCCCAAGTTTTCCACCCATCCCCTCATACCCAATGTACTGCCCAGCTCCCCCCTATTCCCTCACACTGGGGACCCCTATGTGGGACCTTGCCTTCTCTTGTCCTTCTCCTGCCCCCCACCTGGACCATCCCATCCCCTCGTTCCCAGGTCCCCCCTGCTCCTCCCTGTCCCCTCACACCAGGGACTCTCCAGGGCCACTCCATCTGCTCACACTGGGAACTCTCATGGGGGGCCTCACCCTCTCTTGCCCTGCTTCTTGGCCACCTCATCCCCTCATTCCTGGGGCCCCCTGGTTCCCATGTCCCCTCCTGCCCGGACTTCACCTGGTTCCTCCTCATCCCCTGTGTCCCCCCATCCCCTCACATCAGGGACCCTCCTGGGCCACCTCATCCCCTCATACTGGGGACCCTCATGGGAGATTTCATCTGCTCTTGCCCTGCTCCTGCCCCTCACCCGGGCCACTCCATCCCTTCATTGCCGGGTCCCCCGGGTTCCCCCTATGCCCTCCCACCCAGACTTCACCTGATTCCTCCCCATCCCCTCAAACCCGGTGTCTGCCCCGTCCTCTCACACTGGGGACCCCCACGGCAGGACCTCACTCTCTCTCGCCCTGCTCCTGCCCCCCATCCCAAAGCCACCCCATCCCCTCATCCCCGTGTCCCCTTCACACCAGGGACCCTCCTGGGGCCATGCCATCTCCTCACACCCTCTGTCCTCCTCTGTCCCTTCACACTGGGGACCCCCACGGGGGACCTCGCCGTCTCTTGCCCTGCCTCTGCCCCCCACCCCAAAGCCACCCCATGCCCGTGTCCCCCCTCGTCCCCCCAGTACCCAGCGGTGCCAGCGCCCTGGCCGCGGCGCGCAGCAGCGCCAGATACTCCGCCAGCTCGGTGAACTCGATGGCGAGCAGCGCTCCCTCTTCGGTGGCCCGGTGGTAGTCCCGGAGCGCGGGCAGCAGCGCGGGCAGCGCGGCGGGCGCGGCAGCCACGCCGGGCGGGGGGCCCGGGGTGAGGCGGAGCGCGTCCAGCAGCGCGGGGCCGTGCGGGGGCAGCGCGCGGGCCCAGGGGAAGACGGAGCGGGCGCGGTGCAGGAAGCACACGCCGTAGCCGAGCCCCACGAGCCGCTCGGCCGAGGCTGCCCCGCGCCGCCCGCTGCTGAAGTTCTCCAGGAAGCGCACGGCCCGCGCCTCCAGCGGCACCTGCGTCCCGCCCGAGGTCACCAGCGCCACGCGCCGCCCGCGCGCCACCTGCGCCGCCGCCCACGCCCGCACCCGGCGCTCGGCCGCCAGCGCCGCCGCGTCCTCCGCGTCCTCCTTCTCCCCCTTCTCCTTTCCTGGTTCCGCCATGACCCGCCCGCCGGAAGTGAATAGTTCTCCTTCCTGCCACCACCGGAAGTGTTGCCTTGACAACGCCGTCGCCGGCAGCCTTCACCCCGGAAGTGTTGCCTTGGCAACGCCGACGCTCTCGGACTTCACCCCGAAAAGCCGGGGAAGACGCTCTCCAGACTTCGTTTTGAGGACATACAGCCAAAAAAACCACACACGTTTATTGCAGCGCCGGGTGTGTCGGGAAGGATTCCCCAGGACGCACCCCGAATCGCATAGGTTTCATCAATTTAGACAACTTCCTAATTACAGATTCGAGGATTCCCTCACCTGTCCCACTCCATTTCCCCCCTCGAATTGCTTGTTTTACTCTTGACACGGTTTCCTTCCTTCTGTACCTGGTTCAAGGCCTAAACCCAGTCTTGTCTCATCTCCTTTTTCGCTTTTATCACTCTCTTCCGCAGGTGCTAACAGTTGTCTTAGTTTCCCAACTAAAACACTGTAAACTGTTTCATTCACTTCTACAAGTACTTTGAAATAGTTTCTCTATTTCTTTGTTGAAATCACTAATCTCAGATGAAAGGTCACAGAACACTAATTGACATAAAAATGTAGGTGATCCCTGCCTTTGTCAGAGGTAGAATTAAGACTTCACTAATAAGATGTAGAGGAATAGTGTGTCAGAAAAGTACAAAGAAATGAGTATAATTACATTTGAGGAAAATCCGGGTGTAGTATGAAGAATCAAGGGGAAATGTAGACAGTCAAACCAAGTAGAGAGTTGTTAGAATGACTGGAATTTTTGAAGTTCAGGATTTTTGAAGGATACAAAAATAACATCCCCATATCTTACATACGGAATTAACGCCATAGAGGGAGGTTATGCGTACACAGCATAACACAAAAGCAGCTTTTAGACTTCTGGTGGAGAGAACTGGAAGGGAAAACTGACTCTAAACTGAATTTTTGCGGGCCGTGGGAAGCGCTGCCATGGCAACGCGGGACGCTCCCGGCCGGGGGAAGGCACCAGCCCGGCCATGGCGGGGCGGCCCCGCTGCGAACTGTGCGGGAGCCGCCCGGCCCCGCGGCTCTGCCCGCGCTGCCGCCTCGTCCGCTACTGGTGAGGGCACAGGGACGGGGCAGGAGGCAGCGATGGGACGCGGGAGGGAGACAGGGAGAAGGGCCAGGAGGCAGCTACGGGCCCGGGAGCAGCCCCAGGCCGGGGCTCGGGACGCGCAGAGAAGGCTCAGGATGAGACACGGGAGGCAGGAACGGGCACGGGACGAGGCTCAGGACACTGGGAGAGAGCCTGGGAGAAGGCTCAGGACAGCCAGGAGGCAGGATGAGGAGGCAGGGATTGGCCTCAGGATGGGGCCCAGGGCACCAGGAGAAAGGCCAGGATGGGAGCCAGGGGGAAGGACAGGACAGGGCAAGAGGCCAGGACTAGTCCCAGGATGAGGTGCTGGAGGTGGGGACAAAGCCCAGGAGGCAGAAACAGGCCTGGGACAAAGCAAGAGTCAGGGACCAGCCCAAGGACAAGGCTCAGGTCATACAGAAAAGGCCCAGGAGAAGGCTCAGGACATGAGGGGAAAGCCTGGGATAAGGCTCAGGACACTGGGAAAAAGCCCAGGATGAAACACAGGAAGCAGGAACAGATCCAGGAGAAGGCCCAGGACCCAGGGAGAAAGCCCAGGAGGCAGGATCAGGCCCAGACAGGGCAGGAGGCAGGGATTGGCCTCGGAGTGGGGCCCAGGACACCGGGAGAAGGGCCAGGATGAGGCCCAGGGGGCAGGACAGGACAGGGAAAGAGGCCAGGACTAGTCCCAGGATGAGGCACAGGACATGGGGAGAAAGGCCAGGATAAGGCTCAGGACACAGGGAGAAGGCCCAGGAAGCAGGAACAGGCCTGGGACATGGCAGGAGTCAGGGACCAGCCCCGGGATGGGGCTCAGGGCACACAGAGAAGGCCCAGGATGAGACACAGGAGGCAGAAACATGCCCAGAAGAATGCTCAGGATGTGAGGAGAAAGCCTGGGATAAGGCTCAGGACACTGGGAGAAGGCCCAGGATGAAACACAGGAGACAGGATCAGGCCTGGGACAGGGCACAGGACAGGGATAGTCCCACAGCAAGGCTCAGGACAGGGATAGTCCCACAGCAAGGCTCAGGACAGGGATAGTCCCACAGCAAGGCTCAGGACAGAGCCAGGATGAGGGGCTGGAGGCAGGAACAGCCCAGGACAAGGCTCAGGGCACAGGGAGAAGGCCCAGGATGAAACTGGGGAGGCAGGAACAGGCCCAGGACAAGGACCGAGAGCCAGGGACAAAGCCTGGGATGTGTCTGGGACACAGGCAAAAGGCAGGAATTGTCCCTGGGATGAGGCTCAGGACACAGGGACAGCCCCAGGACAAGGCCTGGGACACAGGGATGGAGCCAGGATGGCAGGGATGAGATCTGGGACAGAGCTCAGGAGGTGGGGACCAGACTGGTATGGAACCAGGGAGCCTGGAGAGGGTCCTGGATGGAACTGAGCAGGGAGGCAGCAGGAGCTGGAGTGGTCCTGCTCATGTGGAACATTCCTGCTCACTCCCAGCATCGGACAGGGAGCAAATCCAGGAGCTCTGGGGTGCCCCAAACATCCCCCCACGGCCCTTGGAGCAATCCCACAGGAACCCTGCTCCCACAGTGACCTGGGTTGGGTTGGTTGAGGGGGTTTTGTGTCCATAGGGACACAAATCCAGGGATTTGACTGTACCAGGAGTTCGGGGAGTGATTTAAATAAGGATTTTAACACCCAGCACCGGGTGGGCTTGGCAGGACAGAGCTGTGCCTCCATCTGGGAATATCATGTGCCCTGTGAGCAGCCCAAGGGCTGGGGTGAGGGGGATTCCTGTGGGGAGAGTCCAGAAGGCCCAGCAGGGGATAATCTTCCCTCCCACCATCTCCAAGACGGATAAAACTGGCTGTGCCCCCTTTGGCAGCGATGCCTCTCACCAGGGGGCCGACTGGAACAGCATCCACGAGAAGATCTGCCCCCTGCTCATCCCACCCCAGCCCTGCTTCCACTCAGAAAGAGCCAGAACACACGGCAAGGAGCAGCTGCTGAGGAGGCAGGTGGGTGCAGCAGAGCAAACACCACTTCAAAGTGCTCCAAGGGAGGTTAATTCCAGCTTCTCTCCCTCCACAAACTGGGCTCCACAGGCTCACCTGGGGTTTTCAGCCACACAGGAGCTTCCAAAGCAGCCTGGGCTGTCACTGCCCATTCCTATAAAACTGAGAGGAATCTGCTGCCTAAAGCAGAGCAGGACTTTTGCCTTCACCCCTTTAGAATTCCTCTCTCTGGATGCTCCCAGGAAAGGCAGCAGGCACCTCCTTGGGTGATTTGGTGCCTGATTGCAACTTGGGGGTTGTTTTTTCAAACAAAGCCTCAACAATGAGGGGAGTGGAAGCACCCTCTGTGTGATTCTGGAGCCTCCAGCCTTTTCCACAGCCCTCACTGCAAGTCCTGATCTTCCTGAGGCAGCACAACCCTGGCTCTCCTCCCTGGCCAGGTGGTCCATTTCCCTGGTTAGTCCAGGATCCTGCTTCTTCCAGGCTGAAGGGAGGGAATCCCCTTTCCTAGAGCAGGGGGGGGCAAAGAAATCAAGTCCCTTCCCTTTGTTTACCTGCCCAGCTTGGCCCTGGAATGCTCTTTCCCACTAAGTGCAGTCTTTTATCTCCCGTGCAGCCCCGGGGTAGGTGCAGATGTGCAGCTCCTGCCCAGCCCCGGTGGTTTGCAGCTCTTTTTCTCTCTGTTTGTGGGGTGGCAGGAGCTGCTGCCCCACCGTGTTGCTAAATCACCCCACCCAGGTGCATCTGCTCCTGAAAACCCTCCCCCTGGAAATAAATTCTTCCTCTGTAATTGCAGAACTCCTAGTCCTGGCGTAAAGGGGCAGCAGACTGAGCTGGGAACAATCCAGCCATTGAGAAGAACATCAGGGATTTGCCACGAGTTGTTATTATTATTGTGTTATTATTATAGGTGTTTCTGGCCCAGGTGTGGGGCTTTGGTGAGCAGCTCATTGCTGTTGTGTTTCTTGGGAGACTCCAGAAAGAGGAATTCTAAATTCAGTTCCAAAGGCTAGGAGGGGGAAGAGAATCTGTGAAGGCAAAAGTGCTGCTTGGGGAGAGCTCGTGACAGGCTTTGGGCAGCAGATTCCTCTGGGTTTTACAGGAACTGGGCAGTGACAGCCCAGGCTGGTTTGGAAACTCCTGTCTGGCTGAAAACCCCACGTGAGCCTGTGGAGCAAAGTCCACAGAAGGTGTGTCGGGCCAGCGTGGCCCAGAAAATGCCAAACCTCCTCAGTTCCAGGTTCTGCTGAAGTTGATCCTTTATAAGGTCTGCAGGGAAGGTTACAATCGGTGTCACAGGGGGTGTGGCAGGATTTTTTCCACCCAGAACTGCTTGAAGCTGTTCCGAGGAACTCCCCCTCTATTGAACCCTGTGGTTACATCAGCTCAAATCATCCCCTACACATCCCAAGAGCCACGTCAGTGCCAGCTGGAGGAAGTGCTCCTTGATTAACTGGAAGGTAATCAGCTGGGTTAATTAGGGGCAGGGAAAGCCAGCAGGAAGGGCTGGAGGAGGAGAAGGAGTTACTCTAGGTTGGGGTTCACCTGTCTCAGCCTGGGAAGGCAGGGACTGCAGACTGAGTCTCCTTCGAAGGAAAGACTTTAATGGGCCATTTAACAACCCTTAACAATGTCTGTTCTTTGACCTTTGTCTCCAGCCTGGTTAAATAAAATAGGTTCTGGGAACAGGATGTGCTGGGACACTTTGCCTTCCTTCTTTCTGAAGAAAGGAGGGAGACACTGGAAATCCCTCGGTGACCTGGTGGCTCTCCCAGAGAGAGGGAGAAGTGAGAAGAGGAAGAGAATGAGAAAGTGCCTTTGTGCCTTTGTGCCCAGCAGGGTTTGGGGCAGCCAGGCTGGGCCTGGCCTGGCTGAGAGGATCTGGGAAAGGGGGGAGGTTATTTAGTGCCCTGTCTCACTGGCTGCATCACATTCCTCTTCCAGAGCCAACAATATGCTTTAAAACGTTCTTCCCTGGGAGGGTGGGGAGGCCCTGGCACAGGTTGCCCAGAGAAGCTGTGGCTGCCCCTGGATCCCTGGAAGTGTCCAAGGCCAGATTGGATGGGGCTTAGAGTTACCTGGGCTAGTGGAAGGTGTTCCTGTCCATGGCAGGGAGTGGAATGAGATGAGTTTAAGGTCTCTCCCAACACAAACCTGTCTGGGATTCCATGAAAAAAGGCCTTTGGAGCTGAGGGGGAAAGCTCTGCAGTCTCATGATAACCAGAGGAAAAACCCAGTGCCCAGAGCCTGCCCGTGGGTTTGGTGGTTTTTTAATATTTCTGCTGCACTTCTCCCCCTCCTGCACGGTGTTTGTTTAGAAAACACAGAGCTCCAGCCCCAGCCAGAACACAGGGAAGCTTGGGCACATCCCAATGCCCAGTGGCTCCAGGAGCAGGGAGCCAGGAGTGAGGAGTTTCATTCTTATTCCTCGTCTGGGTTCCAGAGCTTTGTTGATAGAAATCTGCTGCTGTCAACGTTGCCTTGGGAGTGCCTGCAGCCAGCACCTCCAAACTGACAGAATTCCAAGTTTCTGTTTGGAAAAGAGCCTCACCTGCCTGTGTGATGTTGTGATGTCAGCTCCCCACAGCCCCTGGACATGGGAAAAGGTCCCAGAGGATCCAGCTCGGCAGAGCTCCGGCCACGGCGGCTGCAGGTTCGGCCTGAGCCGATGGGACCTTCCCTCCTCCCTAAATCCTCCTTTCTCCAGGCACACCAGGAGTTTGGGAGTGGATAATGGATGTGGCACTGAACCCTGAGCACATTCCCAACCCCCTGCTCCCACCTGGAGCAGAGCTGGGGTCCTTGGCCTCCCCAAGCCCCCCCAAAAATTGTGTGGGGGCAGTTCAGAGAAACCTCTAATTGCAGCTCACATGAAAAGAGCCCAAAATGAGCAGGGCTGGGGGAAAGGGGGGAAACCAGGCCAGGGACAAAGGGAATTATCCCCCTAGGGCTGTTCAGGTCAAAGGGAATGATCCAGTGATCCCCCCAGGGCTGTTCAGGTCAAAGGGAATGATCCAGTGATCCCCCCAGGGCTGTTCAGGTCAAAGGGAATGATCCAGTGATCCCCCCAGGGCTGTTCAGGTCAAAGGGAATGATCCAGTGATCCCCCCAGGGCTGTTCAGGTCAAAGGGAATGATCCAATGATCCCCCCAGGGCTGTTCAGGTCAAAGGGAATGATCCAATGATCCCCCCAGGGCTGTTCAGGTCAAAGGGAATGATCCAGTGATTCCCCCGGGGTTGTTCAGGGCCAAAGGGAATGGTCCCCCCCAGGCTTGGAACTGTGGTAGAAAATATTCAGGGCTCCAGGGCTCCTCTTGCCTCCTGCCCTTCCTCCACCTCCTGGAAGCTGTGCCAGAGTCCAACCCCCAGCTCTGCAGATGTTTCAGATAGTTCACTCTTGGGAAGCAGAGATGATCCCATTGACAAGGAGTAAAAAAAGGAATGATCCCGATCTCCAGCCCCTCCCAGATGCCAATCTGGGCTGTGCCCACGTACCAGGGCCCTGCTGGTTGCACCAGCCTGGCACAGATGGAAAAAGCAGCCTGAGAAATACCAGCTTTTCCTGCTGCTGCCCCGAGCATGTCCTGGCTTTCCCCTGGGCACCACGTGCTCCCTGGATACAGTTTGGGTTTCATAGAATCCCAGACTGGTTTGGGTTGGGAGGGACCTTAAAGACCATCATTCCAACCCCCTGCCATGGGCAGGGACACCTTCCACTGGCCCAGATTGCTCCAACCTGGCCTTGGACACTTCCAGGGATGGGGCAGCCACGGCTTCCCTGGAAAACCTTCTTTTTCCCTCTCCATATTCTGGTAGCTCAGGGATGGCTGTTATGTTTTCCAGCTCTTGGCAGGGGACTCTTGCTCTGGGCTGTGTTCTTTGAAGCTCTCATTTATCCAAACCAGTGTCTCTTTACCTCAGCCAGGATCTCCAGGAAACACTCCTGGGCTGTCCTGGAGCTTCCCTGTCCCTGAGCTGCTCCTTCACCTCTGGCATGACCCTCTCTGCCTCACTCTGAGCACTTGGAGCTCAGCAAAATGCCAAAGCCTGGCCTCCAGGAGCTCTGGGAATGGTTTCTCTGCCCAGCTTAGCCCCAGCTGGAGGCAGAAGGTAATAAAGAGGTGAAGTGGTATTTTCTGTGGTGCCTCACTGACTTACCAGGGCTCTCCTGCAGCTTCCCTGCCATCCCACTGCTTCCCAGGCAGCTTTCCTGACATCCTACTCCTTCCCAGACAGCTTCCCTCTCATCCCACTGCTTCCCAGCAGCCTTCCTGCCTCTCACTGCTTCCCAGCAGCTTTCCTGCAGCTCCACTGCTTCCCAGGGAGCTTCCCTGCCACCCCACTGCTTCCCAGGCAGTTTACCAGACAGCTTCCCTGCCATCCCACTGCTTCCCAGCAGCTTTCCTACCATTCCACTGCTTTCCAGGAAGCTTTCCTGCACCTCTACTGCTTCCCAGGCAGCTTTCCTGCCACTCCACTGGTTCCCAGGCAGCTTTTCTGATATCCCACTGCTTCACAGCAGCTTCCCTCCCATCCCGCTGCTTCCCAGGCAGCTTCCCTGCAACACCACTGGTGGGAAAAGCTGATGGAGAAGTGTTGGGAACTGGCTGGATGGGGCTTGGAGTAACCTGGTCTAGTGGAAGGTGTCCCTGCCCATGGTGGAACGAGATGGGCTTTAAGTCCTTCCCAGTCCAAACCTTTCTGGGGTTCTCCAAGGATCCTGGCTCTTTTGCCCTGTGAGGGCACAGCATCCACGCTCCTGGCAGGGAGCAGCATTTGGATGGAGATGTTTGTGGAGCTGGGGCTCACAGCAGATGCTGCAAAGGGTGAAAAGACCAAATGGTGTGGCCTGGCAGGAGCAGCAGAAGGCAGGGAGGAGCCAGACATGGATAAATACAGGACAACTTACAGGTTCTGACAACCAACCCAGACGCTGCTGCCCCGCAAACTCTGCTGGGGGATTTTGGATTTTGACCCGTTTCCAGCCTCTGCACCCAAAGCACCAGCCCAGAGCTGGCCAGGAGAGGGTGGGATGAAGCTGCACTCTGTGTGAGGAGCTCTCTCCTGGCTCCCCAGCTCTGGCAGCCGGAGCTGTGCCCGGCTGGCACCACCGGAGCTGCTCCACTGCCTCTGAGTCAGCCGCGTTCCCGGCAGGGCCCGGCGGAGCCCCTTTGTCTGATCTCTGCTCTGGTCTTGTGATGATCATTTTCTGTGCTTCACAGCTTTTATTGCTCAGCCTTATGAGCCCTTGTCAGGAGCAGTAAAGGATTCTTCATCCTGGAAGACACCACATGACCTACAGGGATGGCCAAAGCTGTTCCTGCTCGGAGCAGGAATGAAGCCAAGCTCTAATATGCTCTAATATGCTCTAATATGACAGCTTTAATGTCTGCCTATTAATTACAGCCACAAACTGCATTACAATCACTGCTTAGAGTCTGAAAACTTGATTTGAAAAGAAGGCTGTGCAATTGTAACCACTTGGGCTGGTGGAAAGTGTCCCTGCCCATGGCAGGGGATGGAATGAGATGGGCTTTAAAGTCCCTCCAACCAAACTAATCTGAGATTCTATGATTTTATTCCATGGCAGGGGGTGGAATGAGATGGGCTTTCAGGTCCCTTCAGCCCAAACCAGTCTGGGATTCCATGATTTTATTCCTCTGCAGGGGATGAATGAGATGGGCCTTAAGTTCCCTCCAAGCCTAACCAGTCTGGGATTCCATGATTTTATTCCATGGCAGGGAGTGGAACAGGATGGGCCTTAAGTTCCCTCCAAGCCTAACCAGTCTGGGATTCCATGATTTTATTCCATGGCAGGGGATGGAACAAGACGGATTTTCAGGTCGCTCCAACCCAAACCGGCGATTCTGTGATTTTTCTCTCTCCTCTTTTCTCCCTCTGCCCTGCCCTGTGTTTCCCTGCAGAAGTCCATCGTGGAGGTGGCTGTCAGTGCTGCCCAGAGGTTCCTTTGGGAAGGGAAGGCCCTGGAAGCCCTCCCTGCAGCCCTGCAGGCCCTTCGCTTCAGCGCCCGCGTGTTCGGCTGGAGCTCCGTGCAACTGGTGCCTGTTTATCTCCTCCTGGCCGAGGCCTCCACGGGTGAGCATTGTCTGGATCCAACCCCTGGCAAGGGCAAGGCCTCCTGGGGGTCAGGTTTCTGGTTTCCTTTTCCCATTTATCAGGGAAGGGCCGGCTCTGTGCCCTGCTCTGCCTCAAGGACGTTGCGGGGAGATTTGAGAAGTGCCAAACACACACACACCCTCCTCACACCCCCTTTCTGTGGGGCTGGGGAAGAGAATCAATGAAAGCAACTGGAATTTTCGCTCCCTCTCCTCCAATTCCCACAAGAGAAGCCGAATGAAAGTCTGCTCTTTGCTTCTGTGACCTCGGATGACTCTCTGAAGCATCACATTCCCGAGGGTGCTTGGCTGTGCTTTTTATCTCAGGGAGCGTTTTTTCTGAGGCCGCTGCACCCCAGGAACGCCCCGGTCCATTCACAAATCCTGCTCTGCCTGAGCAGAGCTTTTCCTCATTGTGTGCTTTGGAAAACACAGCAAATTAGGGCATGGGAGCTGCTCTGCTCCATGGGCAAAGGGCTGAGGGCTCCATGTAAATCACTGCCATTCCAGGAACACACAATGCCCTGCTGGCAGAGCGGGGCTGGCTCAGGGCTCGTCCTAAATGCTGTGGTGAGAGCAGGGGAAAAAAATTCCTATGAGTAATTGCAGTGTGACAGCGTGCGAGTCATGGAGTGAACCTGTTTGGGAAACGTGTCCCAGAGATCCTCAGGGCAATAAACCCTCTGGAGAGCCTGGGAGAGCTGGGAGGGTTCAGCCTGGGGAAGGGAAACTCCAGGGAGACCTGAGAGCCCTTTCCAGTGGCTCCAAGAGAGCTGGAGAGGGATTTGGGACAAGGGATGGAGGGACAGGACAAGGGGGAATGGTTTTAAGCTGAAAGAGAGTTGATCTAGACTGGGATATTGGGAAGGAATTCCTGGCTGTGAGGGTGGGCAGGCCCTGGCACAGGTTGCCCAGAGAAGCTGTGGCTGCCCCATCCCTGGAAGTGTCCAAGGCCAGGTTGGACGGGGCTTGGAGCAATCTGGGCTAGTAGAAGGTGTCCCTGCCCATGGCAGGGGTGGGACTGAGTGGGATTTAAGGTCCTTCCCAACCTAAAACATCCTGGAATTCTGGAATTTTATTCCATGGCAGGGAGTGGAATGAGTTTTAAGGTCCCTCCAACCCAAACCATCCTGGGATTCTGTGGTTTCTGGCTCCTCTTGTAGCTCTTGACCCTCAGCCTGGGTGTAAATGAGCCTTTGGCCACATGGGCAGCTCAGGAGCACACGGGAGAGAAGTGGGGAATCCCCAGACTCCATCTCCACATGGAACTACCCAAAGGGACAGCAGGCAGGATCCTCTGGCTTTCCAGATTAAAAAAATGCTCTTTATCCTTCTTATCTCCCTGCTCTTTTCCACATGTCATTCCAGGCACTGGGAATCTCCGACAGGCATCCAAGTACCTCTCTGAGGCCGAGTGGATCGTCCTGCAGAGCCCAGAGTGCCCTGCTGCTGTCCAGTCCAGGTTACACCGTGGGCTGGGGCTGTTCTGTATCGCTCAAGGAAACCTTGACCAGGCTTTGTATCACCTGTCCACTGATGTGAGTCCCCCAAAATACAGGAACACCTTGGAGTTGATTCCTTCCCTCCTCCCGGGTTGATGTGGAAACCCCAGCAGGCAAATATGGGATCCTGAGAGGGTTCACATCCCGAAAACCTGAACTGGATGGATCTAAGACACCGGTGTGTCCATGTGGGAGCCAAAGCTGGGTTTTACCAGTTATCCCTCTTCCTGTGAAGTGATAGAGAACCATGGAATCACTGAGGTTGGAAAACCCCTCTGAGATCAGCGAGTCCAACCATTCCCCCAGCACTGCCAGGCCCACCACTAACCCACGTCCCCAAGTGCCCCATCCACGGGTTCTTTGAACACTTCCAGGGGTGGGGACTCCACCACTGCCCTGCACAGCCTGTGCCAGTGCCTGACCACCCTTTCTGTGAAGGAATTTTCCTTCATATCCAATCTGACCCTCCCCTGGCACAGCTTGAGGCCGTTTCATCCTGTCCCTTGTTCCCTGGGAGCAGAGCCTGATCCCCCCCCCAGCTCCCCCCTCCTGTCAGGGAGTTGCAGAGAGTGAGAAGGTCCCCCCTGAGCCTCCTTTTCTCCAGGCTGAGCCCCCCCAGCTCCCTCAGCCACTCCTTGTCTCATTCCTTGTCACATTCCTCGTGTCCTTGTCACATTCCTTCTCTCCCTTTAAATTTTTCCATCAGCTTTGCTGAGATGCCCAGACATTCCTGCCTCAAACTCATATTGTCACCTCTTATCCCACAGATAATTTATATTTTGGCTGTTATTTCCCTCAATACTTTCCCAGATCTTCAGCCAACATTTAATTAATGCCTCATTTAACTCTTTCAGTATCTGGTTCAATCACCCAATTCCAGGGTTGAATTTCCCCAATTCAACCTTTTGAGCCACAAGAACAGTTTGTTACATTGGAAGTGGGGGTTGCCAGCTGTGTTCCTGGGGATGCTTTGCCTGCCATTTGATCCTCCAAAGCCAGATGAACTTCTCCACATCCTATTTCTGTCCCGTGGTGACTAAATTTATCCTGTGCCGAGTGATGGCTCCCCACTCCTGGGGAATTTGATAGTGGCTTTGTGTGGGTGGCAGGGATGAGGGCCAAGAATCAGACCCTTTCCATTCTAACAGACACAACCCAGTCTTTTCTTACGCTACAAACCCTTTGGGAATTCAAGATTCCCACAAAGGGAAGCTCGGGACATTCCCCAAATCCCTTTTTGTTTTGAAGATTCCTCAATGTGCTGCCTGAAAAGGCACCAGGTAATGAGGTTTTTTGCTCTTAGCAAGTGGCTGTCCCAGGTTGGAGCAGCCCAGGAGCTGCTGGGACCTTTGGCTGCGTGTCCAGGATCTGCTGAGAGTCACACGCCGGCTCAGAATAGCTGGAATGCACCAGTGCCTTCCCAATCCCAGCCCCAGGGGCTCCAGCAGGGCTGGGAAGGCAGCAGGGTGGCACCTGGGAGAGGTGGGACGGGCACAGGGGTGAGGAGAGGTGGGAAACCTGCCCTGGATTGAGGGGAACACGTTCCAGAGGTTCCTCTGGCCCAGGAAAAGGCGGGCTTGGGATGTTGCATTCCCTTGGCTTGACCTCAAAATGCAGCTTATTCTTATGGATAACCCCAAAATGCAGCTTTTTAGGACCTGATTCCTTAGGAGAAACCCCAAAATGCAGCTTTTAGGACCTGATTCCTTAGGAGAAACCCCAAAATGCAGCTTTTAGGACCTGATTCTTGTCGATAACCCCAAAATGCAGCTTTTAGGACCTGATTCTTATGGATAACCCCAAAATGCAGCTTTTTAGGACCTCATTCCTCTGGATAAACACCAAATGCAGCTTCTTAGGACCTGATTCCTGTGGATAAACCCCAAATACAGCTTTTATACCTCATTCATTTGTACAACCCCCAAATACAATTTTTGGTACCTCATTCCTTTACAGAACCCTCAAATACAGCTTTTTATACCTCATTCCTATGGTTCAGCCTCAAAATATGGCTTTTTAGTACTTCATCCATTTGTACAACCCCCAAATACAGTTTTTGATACCTCAATCCTTTACAGAACCACAAATACAGTTTTTATTCCTCATTGCTTTACAGAACCCCCAAACACCTTTTTAGTACCTCATTCCTATGGATAAACCCCAAAATGCAGCTTTTTGATATCTCATCCCTATGGATAGCCCCAAAATACAGAGGTTTACACCTCATTCCTATGGATCAACCCCAAAACACACCCTTTTAGTACCTCACTCCTATGATAAACCCCAAAATCCAGTTTTTTAATACCTCATTCCTCTACATAACCCAAAATACGGCTTTTTATATCTGTCTCCTATGGATAACCCCCCCAAAATCCAACTTTTTAGTACCCCCTTCCTCTCCACAAACCCCAAAATCCAGTTTTTAGCACCACACTTTCCAATCCCAACCAGGTACAACCGACCCCTCACAACATAACAAAACCTGAGCACCTGCAACATCATTAATCCATAAGGAAAAACTTTTCAGCTTTGGCATGAACATTAAACTTCTGGGGTTTATTTTTTTTGGTGTTTAATATTGATTTCAGGTTTATCTTGCTACTTCTGCCTTTGGAGTGGACTCCATTGAGGTCTCTGGGGGGTATTTCCACATGGCCAACATTTTCTTCCGCCGGAATAAAGTGGATGTGGCAAACTCACTCTACACTGAGGTTGGTAGAACCAAAATCCATCATTCCTCAGGTTTTTTGGGGGCTCTTTCCGATGTTTTCCCAACTTTTAATCAATATGCTGGTGACCATAACAACTTTTTAAGCTCAGTCTCAGAAACCCTTTTCATACTTAAATAATTCTACGAGTTAAAAGCAGGAGACTTTAATCCTGTGCTCAGGGTTGTTAATTAAAATGTCTTCAGTTTGGGCAGCCAAATACCTGTCAAAAAGCAGCTTTGCCTTCAAATTCCCTGTGCCAGAGGTTAAAGGAGAGAGGGTCTCCAAGGAGGTTCCAAAGCCAGTGAAGGGCAGGACACAAACCACCTAAAATTAACGCTGGGAATCAATGAAAAGTCACACTGATAAAAGATTCTCAGAATGGACTGATCAAGAGAGGAAAGTAATAATTATCTAACTGATTTAATAACTGAATTATCTAATTGATAATTATCTAACTGAATTATCTAATTACCTAATTGATTTAATAACTGGGGGGAGGGGAGAGGGGAAATGAGCTTTCGTTTGTTTAGAGCGATTTTTGTGGAAGCCAAGCTTTGGGAGCTGCACAATCCACCCCCAAACTTTACTTTTGGTGAATATTTTGGTTGGATTGGTTCAAGTTTGGTTAAAAGCAGTGCTCAGGTGGAGAACTGAGGTCCCAGCTGGGGCCGTGTGGGAGAAGCTGGAGCGATCCCGACGTGGAACATCCGTGGCTCAGTGACCCGCCGGCACGCGGAGAGGCCGTGCCCGAGACATTGTTTGGAGAACAAGGAATACCAGGTACCCACACAAGTGAAATAATTCCTGTGCTTCCTGCCAGGTGACCAGGCTGTGGCATTCCTGGCTGCTGAGCTCACTGCAGGAGCACCAGGGACGGCTCCGGCGGCTCCGGGCCCACGCCGAGGCGGCTCCGTGGGCTGACGACGAGGAGGTGGCCGAGGACGGCATGAGTAAGAGCTGCTGTTGCCCCAGAACCACTTGGAAAGTGGGGGTTGGAAGAGCCTGTGCACCCTGCAGATCATGTTGGCAGTGTTAGGGTTGGTGTGGCATTCCCAGAGCCCGATTTCAGCGGGAGCTCCGGGTGTTTCGGGTGTTGCTGTTCAGTGGGTTGTGCCACGAGGCACCTTCAGGAATGAGGGTTTTCCACAGAGGCACAGCAGCTTTGCCCTCTCTGTCCACACACTCCCTTTCACAGCACCCTTGGCAGTGACTGCAGCAAGATTTTGCCTTTCAGGATTTGATTCCACTTCATAGAATCATGGAATCATTTGAGTTGGAAAAGACCTTTAAGATCACCGAGCCCAACCATTTCCCCAGCACTGCCACGTTCACCCCTAACCCATGTCCTCAAGTGCCACATCCACACATTTCCTGCACACTTCCAGAGGTGATGGCTCCACCAGCTCCCTGGACAGCCTGTTCCAAATCTTTACATGTCTTTCCATGGCAAGTTTTTTCCTAATATCCAATCTAAACCTCCCCTGGTGCAACTCGAGACTTGAACATTCTCATTTCTCTGCAGCTCCTTCGTCTCCCTTTAATAATGGAGGTGACACTTCCCCTCCTTTAGGTGGGGTTACAGCTCTCTCCTGGAGCAGCAGAGAGCTGCTCCATGGAAGAGCCTGTCCTGATAATTGGGTGTGTTATCAGGAGAATATTCACGGGAAAGAGGCTGGGGGGTCTCTCAGAGGGACATAAATGTGCCTAAAGCATTAATGAGCCTGGTACTACTCCAAGCTCCACTGAAGCCAGAGCAGACAGTGGGGTTTGTCTCCTTTCTCCCATCTGTGCTAACTAGGATATTGGCAGGGAAGGGAATTTCTATCCCTGGAAGTGTCCAAGGCCAGATTGGAGAGGACTTGGAGCGACCTGGTCTGGTGGAACGGAAGGAGCTTTAAGGTTCCTCCCAACCCAAACCAGTCTGGGATCCTGTGCTTCTAGGAGGAACATTTCTGTGAATCCCATTTCCTGGCATTGTCTCCATCAGGAGTTCCCAAAGAAGGAACCACACCAAGGCAGGGCTACAGGAGACTGTCTTTGTTGTGACAGGAGTAGGAAAATTGTTCTCTCCTGCAGTTTTTGTGACTCCACATCCTCACTAAAGGCTGATCGACACAATCACTGGCAGATGAAAAGAGTTCTCTTCCTGGGCATGGAATGTGCATGGAGCTGGGATCATGGCATCACAGAGTCTCAGAGTGCTTTGGGTTGGGAGGGACCTTAAAGCTCATCCCATCCCACCCCCTGCCATGGGCAGGGACACCTTCCACTAGCCCAGGTTGCTCCAAGCCCAACCTGCCCTTGGACACTTCCAGGGGCAGCCACCGCTGTGCCAGGCCCTCAGCACCCTCAGACTGCGTTGATGTTTGTAGTAGAAACGCTCTGATGTCTGGAAGAGCTAACTGGGCAGTTTGGAATGTGTTCCCTCGCCCAAACCCACCCATCCAACGGGATGTTTCCGTTCCCGCGCAGCCGAAGCCCAGGGGGAAGAAGCGAGGCGGGTGCTGCAGGCCCTGCTGGGGGTCAGGGAGAAGCAGCAGCTCCCCGAGGAAACAGCCCGAGTCCTGCACGCCCTGGCCGTGCTCCACTACCTGGACCTGGATTTGGAAAAGGTGAGTTGTGGCTGGAAGGGTTGGCCAAGTGTTTTTGGGGGTCACTCCATCTCCTGGAACACTCGTTCCCATGGGACATCTCCCGAGCCCGTGAGAGGGGGACAGAGCGTGGAGCTGCCTCAGAGACCTGCACGTGGTGGCTTCAAAGGAGTGGCTTAGGTGGGATACTGGGGGGGAAATTCTTCCCTGAGGCCCTGGCACGGGTTGCCCAGAGAAGCTGTGGCTGCCCCAGCCCTGGGAACGTCCCAGGCCAGGTTGGACAGGGCCTGGAGCAACCTGGGCTGGTGGAAGGTGTCCCTGCCCATGGCAGGGGTGGAACTGGATCATCTTTAAGGTCTCTCCCAAGCCAACCACTCAGGGATTCTGTGACCTGCATCCTGACAGGGCTGACAATCCCTCTGGAGCTGTTTTGCTCTCTGCCATCCACGGCAGGTCCTGCAGTTCTCCACATGTCCCGTGTTCATCCTGTCCCTGGGCCATCCTGGCAGTGTCACTGCCTGTCACAGGCTGCCTTTAGGCATCAGGTGAGGTGTCACACAGGACATGGGCCTCCCACTCCAGACTCCTCTGAGTTCAAGGTTGGCTCTACTGCAGCCTGTAAATCAGTTTAGAATTCGCACCCCAGTATTTTTCTGGCTGAAAGTTCCAAAGGTTCCAGGCTGTGCCTTACCAAGAACTGATTTTGAGGAAGTGCTGAGCAGAAACCATCTGGAAATCAGGCCCCTCTATTCAGACTCAGCTCAAAAACCCTGAGTTTCTCCTGCCTGTGTTTTGGGAAATGAAAATACAGATGGTGCAAAACACTGTGTTGAAATATTAATGTTCTCTTCATTGTCTCAGAGAAAGCCACAGCCATGGGAGTGTTTGGAAGACACCAGGAAACAAATTCAAATTAGAAAGAAGACAAAGCTTTATAATTGTGGGAATGTCTAATCCCTAGAAGAGCTACCAAGGGAAATGATTTAGTTCCTTGTTGAGGAAAATGAGGGATTTAGTTCAGACTGAGTCAATACAGCTGATTTTTTTTTCCCTGAAAGAGCTTTGGGAATGTTCAGATGAGCTGCATTAGGTGGGAGGTGATGTCTGGGATGGGGGGCTGGGGTCAATAATCTCTTCTGTCTGCACCACTGGATCCTAAATATGAGATCTGGCAGCTTTAGGCTCTCCTGTAAAGCAGCTTGTACAGGTCACCTCGAAAAGGGAGCCTGGATCTGCTCCAGGCTGCTCCTCCACTGAACCTGGGCAGGTATTTCCCCGTGAGAAAAGGCAGATTCCTGACAATCCCTGTGTGTTCCTTCTGTCCCATTCCAGGCCCGGGAGGTGGGGATGAAAGCCTTCGACCTGGCCAAAGAGCTGCCCCAGCAAGAGTCTCTAGAAACCATTGGTCACCTGTTGGAGCTGATTAATGCCAACTTTTCCCACACAAAATAAGAACTGGCTCTGCCAGATCCAGGTGTTTGGCCAGGTTATCTCTTCCCAGGTTCCTGGACACCACGAGCGTCAAGAGCCCTCCCTCCTTCCCGCTGCTGCCTCTTCCCAGCTGTCTTTCCTTGGCTGTCCCAAACTCTTTGGAAAGTAAACACTTGGGTCTGAGTTAACCTTCGTGTGCTGCTCCACCTCTGGGAGCTGTCAGGGTGACAAACAAAGGCCCCCCCAGCACGCCATGAATAAATCATTGTCGGCCGGGCTGTGAATGAGCAAACAGCCTCTCACGGCCTCACCTGGGCTGGCCAGGAGCCAAGAGCAGCTCAGGTGTGTTTGTTACTGGTTTCCTGGCTTTGCCTTCCAGTTTGGTGAGGGAGATGCCATGGAGGGATAGGGGAGGGACACAGGGTGGGCACCTGCTCCCAGGGAACCTGGTTGACGGGGTCTGCAGGTCTCTGCAGAGCCCCTTCCATCTCCAAACCAGTTTTACTTGAATCCCAGGCTGGTTTGGGGTGGAAGGGACCTTAAAGCTCATCCAGTTCCACCCTGGACACCTTCCACTGGACCAGGCTGCTCAGAGTTTCCTCTTTCTGCAGAGCTTTGAGGACTTTCATAACTCTGGGCACTGAGGGACGGGTTTGTTCCCCTTCTAGTTTGTTCTTCTTGTGGAAGAACTTCCATCCAGGAGGGACCACCAGGGGTCTGGGGGACTCTGAGCAGCCCTGAGGGAAAGGATGAAAAGGCTCCAAGTGGAGATTCCACCCCAAAGGAGACGTGGAGAGCTGGGACCCCCTTGACTCTGCCACCAACCTCAGGGGGAGGAAGCCCCTGATGTCACTGTTCCAAAAACCCCCAGAGAGGCCCCTCAGGGTGACCCTGCTGTGGAAGGGCTGGTGGAGCCCTGGGAAGGCTCCAGAGCAGCCAGAGCATGTGATCCCTGGGGCTGGGAAAGGGGTGAAGGGAACCTGGCTGAGCCCTAAGCCCCGATTAAGGCTCATTTTCCTGGGCAGGATTTACGAGGGTGTTTAATTGCTGGGCTGGAGTCAAGTGTGCTTTGTAAACGCTCTGTCAAGCTGGGGCCTGAGCAATTAGAGGGCTTGGAGCTGCTGGGGAGGGAGAGCTGCGAGTTCAGCTCTGTCCCAGTCCGTGGGGTGGGAGAACACTGGTCGGGGGGACTGGGGAAGGGGTGGGAGACACCCCAGAGCTCCTGTGGGAGATGCTGGTGGGTGTTCCCACCTCGTCGGGTCTGTCCATGGCTGGAACGAGCACGTCTGGAGGGTGGGAGATGCTGGAAGGGGCTGGAATGGCCACCTCTGTGGGGTGGGGGTGTCAAGGGGGCTGGGACAACCATTTCTGTGGGGTAGGAGATGCTGGAAAGGGCTGGAACAACCACCTGTGTGGGGTAGGGGACACCAGGGGGGTTGGAACAGGCACCTCTGTGGGGTGGGGGATGTTGGAAGGGACTGGAACAGCCACTTCTGTGAGGTGGGAGATGCTGGAAAGGGCTGGAATGGCCACCTCCATGACGTGGGGGATGTTGGAGGGGCTGGAATGGCCACCTCCATGGGGTGGAGAACACCAGGGGAGCCGGAAAAACCACCTCCATGGGATGGAAGATGCTGGAAGGGGCAGGAACAGCCACCGCTGTGGGATGGGAGATGCTGGAAGGGGCTGGAATGACCACCCCTGTGGGGTGGGGGATGCTGGAGGGGCTGGAACAGCCACCTCCATGGGCTGGAGGACACCAGGAGGGTTAGAAAAACCACCTCCATGGGATGAGGGACACTGGGGGGGCTGGAACAACCACCTCTGTGGGGTGGGGGATGCTGGAAGGGACTGGAACAACCCTCCCTGCGGGGTGGGGGAGCCGGGGGGGCTGTGCCTGCTGGCACAATGCCCCAGGGCACCGAGGATTTGGGTCACCGGGGATTTGGAGCTCGGTTGTGGCCGTAATCCCCCGGGTGCTCCATGGCCAGGCTGAGCTCCGGGGGTTCAACAGCACAAAACCGGGAGGAAAACGAAGGTTGTGCGGGGCTGAGCAGCTCCTGGAGCCGGGAATGGAACAGCACAGGCGAGGAGAGGAGCCCCGGGCACATCAAAAACATTCTGGGCAGCTTTAAAAGACATTACGAGAGCGATTTCCTCCCCCAGCCGAGCCCAGCGCTGCCCTCCAGGGCAAAGAGCTGCTCCAAGAAGGAAAGAAAAGCCTGAAGTGACCAAGATCAGAGGGTTTTTTGCCTGAAAGTGTTCGGGCTTGCAGCTCTTGGCACCTTCTCAGCTCCAGGGGGCAAAACCAAATCCCTGGAGCAGCAGAAACATCTCCCCTCCCTCCCTCCCTCCTTCCTTCCTTCCCTCCCCGGTGCTTGTGGAACGACCAAGGGCTCAGTCCTGGCTCGGAGCAGCTTTGGGGGCTCCAGAGCAGGAAAGCTCCGTCCAGCTCCTGCCCTGATCCCAGCCCAGGCTGCCCCAGGCAATCAAAACCTGGTCCTACACCCAGAGCTGATATTTTGCAACCAGGTGAGTCGTTCCCGGGGTGGAAAAGATTTGCAGGGACACGCACTGCCCAAACCTCCCCCCCGCCAGCCATCCCCGGGCAGGGCAGGGGAAAGCCCAGCTCTGCTGAAATGAAGGCACAGGACACGAAAAAAAAGGGCAAGGACACGAAATAAAAGCACAGGACACGAAATAAAAGCACAACACACGAAATAATGGCACAGGAACATGAAATAAAGGCACAGGACACAAAATAAAGGTAAAGGACGTGAAACAGGGACACAGAACAATATAAAGGCACAGAACATGAAATAAAGGCACAGGACATGAAATCAGGGCACAGGATATGAAATAAAAGCATAGGACACAAAATAAAGGCACAGGATGTGAAATCAAGGCACAGGATGCCCAATAGTGGCACAGGACACAAAATAAAGGTACAGGACACGAAAAAAAAGGCACAGCACATGAAATAAGGGCACAGAACACGAAATAAAGGCCCAGGACACGAAATAAAGGCCCAGGACACAGCTGGCTGGGTCGCTGCAAACGTTCTCCTTTATTGTTCACACCACACACCTTCCTCTTGGCACTTCACTGTAGGGATTTGTTTAAAAAAAACCCACACTCCTCCATGGAGGGCTCGTTGTTGGGACCAGCTGAGCAAGGGGTGGGGTTTTATAGACTTTTATTTCTCCCCCTACCCCCCCCAACCCCAACCTTTATTTTTCTCCAGATGTGGTCAAGTGTCATCACTTCCAAACCAGGCAAATAAATTAAAAAAAAAAAAACTATTAAAAAAAAAAAAAAGAAAAACAAACAAAACACCAAAAAACCTTCTCTGTGGCTTCGGGAATGTGCCAGGAGCTCTCCCACACCAGCTGCACTCAGGGAAATGCTCTTTTTCTTTTTCTGTGTGTGTTTTCAATTTTGTTTGAAAAGGACAGTATTTCTCAGTGTGGTTTTGTTTTTGTTTAGTTTTTTTGTTTAATATACTACAGCCTGAAATTCAGTGCAATAGGTACAACTACAGTGCAGAACTATACAAAAAAAAGTCATCCTAACCATGTACAAGCTTTTTTTTTTTTTTCCTCTTAGTTGCTATAGAAACTATAACCTTTTTCTGTACCTTTTGTATACATTATACAGTGTGAATATACGAGAATATTTACAGTACTTGGCTTGTCAAATCAGAAACGCTATAACTTAAAATTCTACTATTAACAACCATTGAACAAAAATATATATAATATAAATATCTTCCAGTCTATACACAGAGCAGGACACGGCTGAATCCATGCGGTGCTGGAATTTGGTGAGTCCCGGGATGGGGGTGGTGGTGGAGGGGGGATGGTGGGATGTTGTCGCCGCTGGTGCTTCACTGTCGGGCAAATATTGCCAAGATTAACCCCAAAAAAAATTCAACAAGGACACATTTCCCCCCCCCTCCCCTCCTCTCCCATTTCCCCTCCCCATCCCGGCTGGAATTCAGGAGGAGCAGAGGAGCCTTTTGTGACTCTGGGCTTGACCTTTTCCAAGGGATCCATGCGGGACGGCTCCGTCCTCCGCGCTGCCCCGGGGCGGGAGGTCCCCGTCCACGAACCCACCGCGGGGGCTTGAAATCAAGGAGACTTGAGACAAAATAAAAATAACTCGTTTTCCTTTTGTTCTGGGTTTTTTGTGGGTTTTTTTGTTTTTTTTTTTAAAATAATCGTTTTGGGTTTAGTTTTAGTCGATTTAGGCGTGGGGGTTTTGTGTTTTTTTTTTTTTTCCTCTCTACGGTTAGAATGTTGAAAAATAAAAGTTTCCGGCTTTAAAAACTTCCTCTCTACGTGATTTTTTTTTTTCGTCGTCGTTAAATAACCTAAAATCGCGTCGTTAATTAAAAATAAAAAAAAAGAGGGAATCGCCTTCCTCCTGCTGGTGGAGGCCGAGGTGGGTGGGTTTGGAAAACCCCCATGGGGGCTTTGAAATCCTGGACGTGAGACCAGCTACGGAATAAAAATAAAAATAAAATCCGTTCCTAGCCAGGAAAAACAACAACAACAACAAAAAAATAATAATAAAATAGCTCAGTCTGTCCCCAGTAAAACCAGCAGGGGAGGCTGGGAAGGGGCGTTTGCACACCAGGGTGGGGACCCCCCCCCACACACACACACACACAATCCCTCCTGCCTGGGGTCTGTTCTGTACAAAGTGTTTAAAAAAAAAAGCCCCCCCGGGTGAGGGCGGAGGTGCCAGCGGTGCCACCCGAGGTGCCACCCGCGGCCACCCCAGCGGTTACACCTGCGAGTCGGCGCCCAGGCTGTGGAACTCGTCCGGGGTCTTGTCGCTCTGGCCGCCCCCGCCCTGCCGGAAGCCCGAGGCGATCTCGTCGAAGGTCCGGCCCTTCGTCTCCGGCACCTTGAAGTAGGTGAAGATGAAGAAGAGCACGAGCAGCACCGTGAAGATGATGAAGACGTAGGAGCCACAGAGTTGCTGGGGAGGAAGGGGGGGGGGGGAAAAAGGGTGAGCGGGCAGGTGGAGATCACGGGATCGTGGAATTCCTTTAGGTTGGAAAAGCCCTCCGAGATCATTGAGTCCAACCATCAACCCAGCAATGCCAGGGCCGTCACCAAACTGTGTCCCCAAGTGCCACATCCACACGTCCACTGAACACCTCCAGGGATGGGGACTCCAC